GTCTGCTCCCAACAAATCCACCCTTTTGTCTTTATTCCGACTATTTCTGAGAGATAGGTCAGGAGTCCTCTCCCTTTTCTGGGTCACCAGGGTATCACACTCCTGGAAACTTCCTGGTAAATGTTGACAGTAAGGACACCGGGGCTTTCTGGAAATATTCAAGGTTTTCCACTTTTGTGCTCAGAGCAGAAAAAGTACAAACTCCACAAAGGAAAACACAAGCCCCACACACACACACACACACACACACACACACCCTGTCCCCGGTGACTGAGGTGCTATTTATCACACAAACCGAACTAGAGACCCAGTGGAAGCTGAAACAGAAAAAGAATATCTGGCATCAGGTTTGCCGGCTCCCTCTCCTCAAAAGATCAGTTTCCGAGCGTCTAATCTTCACGGCGTGCAAACCAATCCCTCTGCTTCAGCCCGGCCACAGCGCCGCCCCCACACACATGCAAGCGCGTCCCAAATTCGGCCTCCCACTCGCAAGCGGAAATCTCCAAAACGCAAAACCATAAATTGTAGGGTTAGCGCATGATTTGACTCCTCATTGAGTCGTTTGGATCGGGCTGCTCTCAGGACCCACCCCAGATAGGAGCCTGCTGGTCAGACCCTCTGAGGGGCTCACAGAGGCTTCTCCTCCCAGTTAACAGCACCAGGCGGACATCCCTCCACCGGCACCTGGGCTTTTTTTGGGGCGGGATGTTTGCGTCTTGGCCTGCGAATCCGAGGACGATAAAGCCGACGATTTGTCTCGAGCAAACGAGGAAGTAACAATTAAACTCATCTATAAACTGAAACTGTGAGTTTCCAGGCTAAAAACCTGCTGACTCGTTGGTTTTCCCAGCGCTCAGCTGCCGGCTCAGGAATCAGAATCAGAAATACTGTTGCGTCTCGGATTCGCAGGCCGACGATTTGTCTTGAGCAAACGAGGAAGTAACAATTAAACTCATCTATAAACTGAAACTGTGAGTTTCCAGGCTAAAAACCTGCTGACTTGTTGGTTTTCCAACGCGCAGGAAGTGGAGGCTTCTGACGCAGGCCTGGCTGTGCCCGCATGGAGGTCTGGTCAGAGACGTTGTTAGGCTGATGGCAGACCATTGAGACATCCAAAGTAACCTGTTGGATATCTCACTGATTAAAAAGCCTTAAAGGTGGGTGCTTAGTGCTGTGAAGCCCAGACGGGATGCGATGATCCTCGAGGTGCAAACACAGAATCTGAAGCTTCTTGTTTTTCCCGGAAAAAACAGTCCTGCTAAATAAACGGGGTCGGTGGGCTGGAGCTCCCCTCAGAGCAGGAGTTCGACAAAGAAAGCTTTTGTTAAAGGGAGGCGAGGTCGGTGGGTCTGTTAGCAGCGTGAGGGGGATCAGCTGAGAAAGCCGACTCCTAACGTCCCCTGTCTGCTCTGAACTTAACGCCGAAGACACGACGGATGGGCTGAGTCCTCATTGTTATCAGCCCCTGTCTTTAGCTGGGGCTAAGTGGATAAAATATGAACCTATGTGTTATTTTAGGCTGTTGCTAAGTACATCTTTCTTGGGCAGGAATCACTGCTTGTTAACAGCTTTTGCAGCAGATAAAGGCCTTTTAGGCACTCGTGGGGGGGCTTTTCGTCTTTTTCCTCTCACACAGCCTCTATTCCTACGAGTTTCTCAAGCCATCTGGTACAAACTGGTCTTTCAGGGGGCTGTTTATAAAGATTTCAGGCCTTGAGGCAGAAGCTGGAGCTTTTAAACACAGGAGTTCGTGTCTGCGTCGGCCTCTCTGCAGGGTTAAGCCGTCCAACCTGATTCATTGAGCTCATAAATCTCCCTGAAGATCTTATTTTTAATTTATTTTTTGTGAATCAGGGGCTGCGATTTGCATTCAAAGCAGCAGAAAACTGCCGCTCTTTGTGTCACACTCACTGCCTGAACTGTTGTTAAGATCAGTTTGAAGCAGAGCCCAGACGGCCCACCTTCACACTTTTGATGTGCTAACGCCTCACAGATGATATCAAACTCCGCTGTCTTATCATCCGGATGAGGACGGCCAACCAGCCGTAGCACAAAGGAACAGAGAAGAGGATCCACGCTGGTTCTTCACTGCTCGCTTCGCTGGTGGTGCTTTGAACGCACATTTCTGCTTATTCAGTGCGTTATTTTCTCCTAAGCACATGTCAGCCGAGCAGCCGTTAGCTTTCAGAGACACGAGAACCTCCCGGTGAACCCTAGTTTCCGTATCTGCCCTCCGCTATCGGTGCTTTCCGTTTTCAGGCTAGCTCTCGCTCTGTTTTTCTTTGATGATGGCGTCGAGCTCCGAGCTCCACGCCGTGGGCAGGTGACACAGGATGGCGAGGGAAGGCTCTCCCCCCATAAAAAGGGAGCAGACTGATGGCGGTAACGATAGCTGCTGGGTCTGAAGCAGCCGGAGGCTCGCCGCCTCCCGGCGCTCAGCGGGAACATGAAAGGTGCCACATGCCTGAAAGCCGCAGCGTTTGAGGATGTGGCGAGAGCCTAGTGAGACCGGGATGATTAGAAATCTAATGATCGTCTTCATGAGAGGCTTTGACGGAGATCACAGCAACCACAAGGCGTGAAACGAGCCTCTTTTTTTCACACACACACATTCCCACGTTAACAAAACGCTTCTGATGCCAAATGTTCTGACCTGACTTTTGTGTGTGTGAGAGAACTGAACGCACAGTAAACCGTTTGAATTAAATCTGGATGTTTCCAAAGATAAATGATTAAAAAGCAAAAAAAAGATTGGGTTTTATACTGATTTTATACTAAAATGGCCGTTTGAATCCATCCCTAATCATGTCAAGAGAGGCCAACTGTGTCACAGCTTCTGAAGTCCTTCCCCTGCATCTGTAATTATTTATTGATCTGACAGCCAGCTGCTGGGAGGATTTCATTCCAACTTTCCACAAAGAGCTTTTGGCTTTAACTTATTAGTTCCTTATTAGCTTTTTAAACTGATTTTTGTTTTAAAGCATAACAAAGTTGTCTTGTAATTGGACAGAGAGAAGAAGCTCAGGGGGAATACTAACATGTGCATGTCCAATATTTGGCATCCTGACCCCCATTCACTGGGTTTTTCTTTGTTTCTGTGTTCTGTGAAAATCCATTCGAATCGTTTTCTAAATATACGATACAAGTAGAGGCTATTTGGCTAGTTTTCATACAGGCGAACATACACAACTCTCGGCAAGGGTGCAAAAAAAAAGGAAAATGAAGCAGAAATCCTGCTCAGGAGGTTAAAGACAGTAATTCTCTTATGTTTTCGTGTCACTTCATTAAATCCTGTTGAGGTGCTTCAGGTCTCTGCAGACTGTTAAACACCGCTGCTCCTCTTTGTCTCCAACCCTGTCGGAGTGTCTTCTGACCCACTTTTTGGCGCCACTGGTTGAGAAAAACACTCTGGCTGTGGTGGCTTTGTTTGTGAGCATGACACCAGCCCTCCTCACTCTGAAACCCAGGGGAGAAGCTGCCTCACATGTGCCATTTCACATGATCGGAGAAGCTGGCGATACGCTCAAAAGGAGAAGTGCAGCAGTTCGCCTGCTTCCTTTCCAACTAAAAGAGTCGTTTACGCTTTCTGCTGGCCGCGCGTGGCGTTTTTTGGTTTTTATTTTCTGGTCTTTGGCTGTTCAGACGGCGGGATGGCAGGCGTCATCTGTACGTTTTCTGAGAGCCGTTGTGTGTGTGAGGTGGCAGCTTGTGCCACAATCGGTGACCCCGGCCAGCAAAGCCCGCCCCGACGCGCCGGGGATCCGTTGTTGTATCTCTGTGTGTCTCTGTCTCCAAGCAGCAGCTGGCACGCCGCCACGCTGAGCGGCACACAGCCGGCAGCTTATCCTAACCCAGCCAACACTCCCCTCCAGCCAGCACGGAGGTGCTCTTCACCTAAAAAAAAAAGCCTGTGTCTTACTGAAGCAAAACACACCCTAATCCTTATCCCTATCTAATCTAAAGTCATACGTTGATGGAAAATAAAGATATCTGCGACTGGTTTGTTATCGGGTCGGCGAAATATCCTTCTAAACGATGAGAGGGTTATGTGAAGAGTAGAGCTCCATAAAGGACTGCAGACGTTTAGAGGTTTTGTTTCTGGGAGCTTTGAATTTCACAAAACGATGAGCGATGATGATCTCATGAAATGATGATCTCTGTAGCTAACTCATCATAAATCATAAGTGACCCGGGAGAGAAAGAGAGGAACCCGAAAGCCCTTAAAACCTACGAAACAGTTCATGTGGTCTGAAAGCTTTCGAGCTTTTCTCACTTTCACACCATTCTTCATTTCCTTTCAGCTGAGCGGCATGTGCACGTGCGCTGTGGAAAGTCTCCCAGAGAAGTCCTGGACTGGATTATCTGCTCTTAGCGTCTCACAGAGGCAGCCCAGCCGGGCCCAAAGAGCAGAGACCTGCTAGCACCGCGTCTCTCTCCGGGCTTTACCCACACTCAGCTCAGGAGGGTTCCCAAAAAGAGTCCAGTCACTCCACAAACAAAGACATCAGGCCATAAATCCAAAAGATAGTTGGCAGTTCAAAATGTTAATTGAATTGTTTGGGAGGCTCTGACCTCTTGGAAGCAGATCTAAGACAGAAAGTTAATTTAGTATTCTGGACCGGCGTTCAATAACAGGACCCGCAGCTCCCAGACCAATTCATCTCCTTCCTTCAGTGTCTGGATCCATACCTGAAAATCGATTCCTGGCAAGTGCGCCAGCAGATTCTGCCGATTGGACTCACTGTGCGCCCGTGTGCACACGCCTGAGAGTGTGAGCACGGCGAAGGCTTCACCGGCTCGCTGTCCGGCCGCCTTCTCGCCCCATTTCGGCTTCGGCGTGACGCCTCCGCTCGGCTCCGTCTCCACCTTTTTCTAATTACAGGCCTCCCGGCTGCCTGGGCTCGTTAACAGCAGGCCGCAATCTGGAGGTGCCTTAAAAGGCAGCGTTACCTGTTCAGACCACCTGCTCTGAGGCAGGTTGGGGGGTTTTATGTATTAACATGTCGGTGAGCAGGCAGGATTAGGCCTGTTGGAGGCTATTGCAGATTAAAAATGACGTCCAGACTCATGAGACAACTTCCGATTTGCGCTTTTCTGCGTTCTGGGTATTATTTTGGTTCATGACGCTGATTGAAATGGGCCATTTGTTATGGCCACAGTGGAAGAATGTCTCACCCCCATGTGTTGAAGTTTGCATACTTTGATATATGTGCCCCCTTTGGCTTGTGTTGTGTCTTCTCTCTGTCATAATAAGGGTGAGTTTAGATTGTTGTCATCATGACTAACAACTTCCCAATAAACATTCCACACAGGTCTAAGTCACTAAATGACTCGGCTGTGTGGGTACTTTCTAGCAACATGTAGTGTTAACCTTAATCCAGTGTGAACATCTCTCGCCATTTATCCTATCTCTATTTGTTAGATAATTTGTCCTAATCCTCAGAAGCACACGGCAAAGTGAAACTCTTCTCTCCTCAAATGGCGTCAAAACTGATAAACCTAAAAGCCAAGCTGTGTGTCGTGTGAACGCACGTTTACTTTCTTTATTAGTGACAGAGCTGGGCTTGTTTGTGCCAAGGGGATCACCAAAAAAACTCCTAAGACACAGCCTCAGCCGCAGGTCCTTTAAGTCTGGATATTTATATCCTGTTAAGTGCGTCACCATGGAAAATAAATGAATTGTTGTGGAGAATGTCACCCTTTTTATGTAAATGAAATCATTACATTTGAGTTATGTTAATGTTCCTCATTTAGTAGCTGCTTCTAGTCTTTTGGGGGGGGGTGATTTTATTTGGGAGAACTGCTTTTTAAAGTGAACGTACAGAAGTTTGAATCGTCATGTGAAGTTTGTCTAAACATTTAAGGTAAAGCTGACGAATTGTCTTTTGTTTCCTCCTAAAACAATTTTAGTCTCGTCCATCTTTACCTTTGAGTTTCTAACCTTTTCCAAGAGCGCCTCGCCTTCCACCTCAAACGTGCCTAACTTTTACTTGATTTTCTCATCTCGACAAATGTGTGGAGTTTCAAAAGCTTTTCAGTTTCAAAGCTTGAGCTTTGTTCCTCACTGATGAGTTTCTGTGGGTTAAAGCGCCTGATAAATGACGCCATGTAAACGGGAGATAAATCTACTCTGACAGCTCAGCTTAGTCTTTCAACTGGGGAGTTTTTTAAAGAGGTTACAAGACATCTAGGCAGAGGACAGCGAGCACCGACGGCTTTGATACATAAGAAATGTTCACTGTGTCTGTATGAGCTCAGTGTTTGATATATTGACTTGGAAGGCCGTTGATTGAACTCATCCCACTCAGTCTGGTGGGACTGCATCAGCCTTCCTGCCCCAACCATCCTCCCTCATCATCAAAACGCTCTTCGTCTTACTCTTTATTCCTCTGTGGTTTTTCCCCCCCGCAGCAGATAGGCACTCTGCGAGAAGCAAGAGAAAACGTTTGGGAAAAAAACAGCTTAGCACTCGTCCGTCGTGTGCTGCTTTTTTAACTGCCGAGTGGCAGATCTGTACCAGAAAGGTCACAAGTTAGACTTAAACCCAGAATGATCTGCCGTAACAGGAAGTCCATCCTCTCCTTTTTCTCATGCCCCCTTTTCTCACACACGTTCCCTTTTCTGCAATTTCCTGTTTGTATAGAGAGCTGTCTGTATATGCTTACTTCAGAGGATGACTCAGAAGACAAAAGCCACCCACCTCACTCAGCAGAAAGGGAGCGCACTCATTTCCAGCCACAGCCATTTCCCTGATTTGAGAATGTTTTGGGGAAAATTGTACACACAGATATGTTTGATATTCAGAAACAGGCTTGAAGGGGTTTGAGTGCAGTGATTTGTTCCTTTTCTACATTTCTCACAATTCTGAGGACCCCTCTTTTTCTGTATTATGTATACCCCCATGTCCTATTTCTACACATGTGAGCCCCCAAAAAAGCCAATTAGAGATGTATAGACAACCTTTCCTGTCCTCAGGTGGGCATTCAAACTGCAGTTAGACAAGTTGGTAAGAGATTGTTTTACCAACTGGGCATCCTAGAGATTATCTAGGATGTCCAGTTTGAAGAATGAATCTATCTTTGAAAGTTTTGTGAGATGGCAGTACCTTTCATTTAGACCAGTATGTGTATAGAAATATATAGAAATGTTAAGATCAGTTTTGTCCTATTGACAAAATGTCATTCTGTGCTTCTAATAGAAGTCTGAGGAATAGCAAATAAAATATTTGCTTTCTAAATGTTTTTTTTTTGTCCATTGTTCATCAGGAAGTAGACAGAAAAGTGTGCATGGAGAATTAGTGTCAGAGCTTAAGCACAGCAGAGAGGGACGGCTGACCCTCCTTTTTGAGACGATGTGATTCAAGTGGTCCTTTATTCTTCATATGAGCACATTGAGGCATATTTGTGGGCTAAGCACTTTCAGCCCGCTCTCCTGTTACACTGAAACGCTCATGTTTATGTTTGAGCTCACGCAGATTGAATCTACGCAGCTCCACAGAGATGCAGCGTCTGTAACTCCACCCGCTTTGCTTGTTGAAACATTAACATTAAGCCCGGGACCCTGCTCTGAATCAGACCTCAGACGTTTAGGGCTAGTTGTCAAGGTAGTATTTAGGACACACCACGGAAGAAGAAAGACGGAAGAGGTTGTTTATGCTTTCTGCTTGGCCTAAAATGTAATGTCTGTGGGCTAATGTGAGGGGATGTGCGTCCTGCCTGAGTAACATTAGTCCTCTCTTTGCCCCTCCCCAGGGCAGGACAACAGCGCTGCCAGGGACGGGCACATGAGGCATGAAAGGGTGGAGCTGAGGATCAGCTGACCCCCCCCCCTTCCATCTCCTCCTTTCCCAGTGCTCCAGTGGATCAGCACCTCCCCCTCCTGCCCCCTTCCTGCCCCCTGTCACCCAGCTGGGTCTTTCTCGTGGCTCCTCACCTCCTCCTCCTCCTCCTCCAAACCTCCGTCAGCGCCGATCAATGTACTCCCCGGAGCAGGAAAACATCTCCACCACCGCCTCCACCAAAGTGCCAGTGAAGTATGGAGAGCTCATTGTGCTGGGGTAGGCAACCGCAAGCCAACTCAACATCACACTTCAGTTTTACACTCTCGCTTCATCACTAACAGAAACAAACGCTGCTTTCCAAAGGCCGAAAATCTGTAAGCACACACTGATTATTTCTCACTAAAAACACAGTCTGTTGAGGGGAGATGAATAAAAAATACTGTAATGTGAATGATTTAAACAGAAAGCAGGTGCCTTCCTGCGGCCTTTTGGCATGAACCTGTAAGCGAACCATCAGAGGATATTTTTATTCAATTTATTAATTGGGGACGTATCGTATCTGATTCAATTGTGATAAAAAATGTAGGTACAACCATTATGCTTTTATGCTGCAAAACTTCAGTTTATAATTAGTTTTTTTGGTTGATATTTCATTTTATTTTCCTTCTAATTGTAATTATTGGCAGTATGTGGGGTCGTGAACGTCTTATTTGTTGGCTGGGTTGAATTCGAAGTTCCTGTGCTGGCCTTCTTTTGCTGAGTTTGGTTGTTGTGTGTGTGTCACGGCTGATAGTGGGGGAGAACATGAACTGTACACTGTGTATCCATTACAATGTGCAGATGATTTAAACCTGAATGCTCAAGTAAAATCCTCTCTATAGAGGTCCAAATAATATTTTTAAAATTCAAGATTTTTTCTTCAGTGTATCACTTTGATTATGATTTGGTGGATCTGATTAGATCTGATTATGTAAATAAGTATAAATCAGTGTGCAAAGATTGGGTATATGGAATATATATATAATACATATATTGGGTATATGGGTATATGAAGAACTATTCAGTTTAATTTTATTTAGATGGTGATAAATCACAAAAAAATCCTTTTTTCATTGTTATTATAATTATTGGTAATATGCTAGTTGTTCTTTTAGTTCAGGATTATGTTTGTTGATGTTGTGTAAAATAAAACAGAAAGTATTTGTTTACTCTTATGGTCAATGTTGTGTTGTTAGTCTGGTCCTCGTTTGTTTCTAGTTGATGTGTTCTTAGGTTGTTCGAGAGTTTGAGAAATCAGCCCTTTGGAAGCATTTTTTAAGCCTAAAAAATGTGTTCAACATGGTAACAAACATTTCTGTCATTAAAATGTTGTATTTTCATTCTTAGTTCTTCCTCTTTGGACATTTTATTTTGGGTACAAAGAGTTGTTTGTTACCAGTCTAAAAGCTGTTTGTCGAGGACTGACTTAAACAGTCTTCAAACAGTATGAACCACAAAAAGAGAGTAATACCGGCATCAGGAGGTGTGACAGAGGTTTGGAAGTGTGTATTTTTAGGTATAGGAGCAGTCTGCCCGCAGAAATCCGGTCAAACGCACTAAAAACACAGCATGTGTTACGTGGTTGTTCTGCTGGTTCTCTGTGACTGCTGTCCACAGTAAGGGCAGGCCATAAAACTGCTACACGCCATGATTTCTAGGGATGATTTACGTTTGTTTACTGTGGTGCATAACCCAGACAGACCCGCAGTCTGAACAGTTTGAGCCCGTTTCAGATCACTCAGCATTGTTCTTTTGTTTAAACTGTACGTCAAATATATGCTCAACATCATTTAGAGAGATAATCATAGCTGGAGAACAATGGGGTGGCGATAAAAGCTGGAAAAAGCTGATTAATGCGACGACAGACACACCTCCCGAAGGAATTAAAATGGGTTTGTAAACCTGCAAATGCCCTCCGAATAACCGAGGCCTGAGCCTGTCACTGGCTAACAACAAGAAGGGAAAGAGGAATGTTTGGAGGGAGCATAAACACTTCGGATGTTTCCGTCCACTCGCACTGGGCCGTTTTTCGCTCACTGAGATTAACCACGTTGCAAAACGTGATCAGTTCTGGCTGCCGGCGGCGTCCCAAACACCTCGGCTTTCTCTGGACTTTGATTTGAGCGGAGTCTGCATGGTCAGCTGGAGAAAAAAAAACCTTCCCTCCGGCCTGCATCATCCACACAGCAGCTCGGGCTTCCTCTTTCCGTCCGCCTCCTGTTTACTCCCAGAAGGCTTCTCTCCTCTTTCCACAGAGGAATGCAGGTCCCAGAAAGGCTCCTTACATGCACACGGGCCCGTCCTCGTGCCCCACACAGTCGCGGCTGACTCACACACAGTTTGTTGTTCTGCGTTGCACTGGAACGCTATTGTCAGGGAGATGACTGTGGAAATTTTCCCTGGTGGAAAAAACACATTAAGCAGCACACGCCGTTCCATGCCTTTTTACGAGGGAGAACCCCAGTTTTCCGTTGGCTGGGCTTTTTCCGCTGGCGGCGTGCGATTCTAGGTCAGGCCACCCTTTTTAAAAGGTCGACAGGGGCACGTTTCTGCTCGCATAAGGCTGCTCTTTAAAGCTTTAAAGGGCTCGGCTGAGGCGAGCGCCTCGCCCTCATCCTTGTTCTCTGACCTACACGGGAAAGTGAACACATCCCCACGGCGCGGCCGCTGTAACCGTGGCTCCCATTAACCTGTTTGGTCTGTAATATGAAGCCTTATTAGGTAGTGGAAACAACTTTTCTGACCTCGCTGACTTTGACATCCGAGTGTGCTGCTGAGGTCATACTTAAGACGGCACAGAGGTAAAAACCCACCGTAAACAGACAAACCTTCCGATTGGCTCAATTCCTCCCGGCTCCAACACTCGACAGACATTTCTTTCATAAAGATTTGCCAAACTGAATAAATGAATCGGTTAATGCATCGTTTGCATGGATATTTGCTGAGTTGCAGTCTTCTTTGTGGTCCTTGCGAGCACATTTCTGAGCAGCAGAAACAGCCCACGTGCTGTGTTGCGTGTGTGTGTGTGTGTGTGTGTGTGTGTGTATGTGTGTGTGTGTGTGTGTGTGTGTGTGTGTGTGTGTGTGCATTCTTGCCCACACAAGCACCGAACAAAAAACAAAAAAAAGTTCACCCACTCATAAAAGCATTTAAACTCTCACAACCAAATGACGGAAAGCTACCGTGGAAGCCCCCCCCCCCCTGTTGGAGGGTCCACAGTATGTGTTTGCTAACTCGTGGATGGGGTAGAAAGGAAAGTTGTTGTGTTACTCTTTAGACGACCGGTTTAAGAGCCTCCTCTACCCGGGGACAGGCGGATGTCTGTCTGAACTGAGGCCTGAGCCTTAAAGCAAGGCCTCTCAGGTGGAATCACTCCGTGGTTCCGGACAGAGTCACGTTTGCCGTGAGGAGAAAAGTGCTCGGAGGCGTTTTTTTGTGCGGCCTCTTCCTCTGTAACTGTGACGTGTGTAAACACACACACAGAGTGAGTCAGGCCGGGGGGACACACACCTCCTGCTGTTTTTATGGGTTTGACATGTAAGCGGCAGCTTGTAGCCGCTGTCTGAGCTCCGCTCTTATTTGTATTGGAGGGCAAACACAAAAAGCTGCAGCTGATTGTGGGAAGCGGAGATCTATCCGACGTCTCTGCGTCGCCGTGAGAGCGGCCTGCTCGCACACACGCTAACCGCTCGCCGACCTTTGACCTCTCCGCGTTTGTTTTGGGACGTTTGGGTCCGTGTGTGTGCTCGCAGGCAGCCCGGCTCCCCACGGGAGGCTGATTTTGAAGAGCCTGCGACTTTTTTGAGCTCCCTCCAGCAGCCCGCCCCGCCCGGTGCGTGGATACGGGATAAACTTCACCATGGTTACGCTCTTGCCATGGTTACCCTGCCCAAACGTTGCTGCGGCTCCCTCCTCTCACCATGGTTACGCACAAACCCTCCCAGCGCTGTTTGATCCCGGCTGCTCGGCTCCCTCTGAGGGGCCTGCAGCCGAAGGCCGGGCGTCCTCACAACATGCCCGCGCCGTCCTCACTGGACCCGGAGGAGAGGGCGGGGGGGCTCCAGGACTCTGATTGGTCAGAGACACTCGAGCTCCGCGGCTTCTGAGCTTTGTTGTTGTTTCATTCCAGCAGCAGGTTTGATTGATTTATTGCTTCTATGGCGTATTGAAGTGTCCCTGCTCGTGTTTTCAGTGTAAAAAATATCCAGGTCTGCATCAGAATTATTTTTCGTTCTTCATTTAGTCTCTATAAAGAACCTTTATAATCTGCATTTCTTTGGGTTAACCGGCTTCATGAGACTTCCCTGAATCCTTGAACTCCCCCGTCAGTTTTTTTTTTTGTTGGTGAAAGGTGACGCTGTCTAAAGGTCAAAGTGGAGACTAAGTACAAAAGGAGTCGGTGTTAAATGTTCTCTGTGAGTTCTGTTCAATGGAGTTGATGTTTAGGACAAGGAGCCCAACCTAGTGTGTATTCTTTGTATTAGAGATGTTATCTATGAAAAAGGGTGTGAACATCAACAAGAATTAAACAAGACTAGTTGTAATAGTCATACTGTGAATGACTATAACAACAAGCATGTTATGTTATGAGCATGTTATAAGTGTCAGATATTAAAAAGAAACTCTGAACATTGCGGCTAATTAAATCCTGACACTGATAACCTGAATAAACAAGACTAATAATGTCCTCGATACAAATGAGTGGCTGGCGCTTTTAAAAGGAACGACGGGCTTTGTTGTGTCCCTGATGAACATCTTTAGCTTCACAGAGAGCTGGCAAACGTATCCTTTTTTTTTCACGGAGCACGTCCAAACTCCCAGCCACTCTCAGTCACCGTGACTAACCGGAGCTCAGCGAGTTCAATGTGGGCATTTCTGAGTGTAGACGTACATACTTGTTGATTTCAGAAAGCCCAGAATCGTTCTGCCGATGGAGCCGTGGGGCAAAAACACACCATGTTAAAGTTTAAGGTCATCGTGAATCAGCGAGGTCAGAGGAGTCCGGACCAATTCGGGGAAATCTGCTGGATGGAACGTGTCCGTTAGAGGGAGATGATGAATTTTTTCCCCCCTGTGGGACGTTAAAGTGAGACAGAGCAGCCGAGCCACAGAGACTCCATTCTGTCGGGGGGGAACGCCTCTGTTTATTCTCCCCTCCTCAGCTGTGCGTGGAGCTAAATGAGCCTCTGTGTGTGTGTGTGTGTGTGTGTGTGTGTGTGTTTATGTTTCTCAGCCTTTCTGGGGTTATGTTAGGAGGGCTTTGTTGTTTGTTTGGACACGACCAGCCTTTGTTACACGCCGTGTATGAAAAGTACAGGCCGGCGTTTGTGAGCGCTCGCCGTCTTTAAGAGTGCACAGAAGAGCCCCGAGCGTTTTCCACTCCGGCTGTTTTCCCAGCGCACGGAGGCCATAAAGAGCCATTGTTCTGTGTTTGCACGCCCGCTTATGTTTGTGCGTGCGTGCCTGTGTGCAGGTACAATGGCTCCCTGCCCAACGGGGACCGGGGCCGGCGCAAAAGCCGCTTCGCGCTCTGCAAGAGGCCGAAGGCCAACGGGGTGAAACCCAGCACAGTGCACATCGCCTGCTCTCCACAAGCAGCCAAGGTAAAAACACACACATGCCTAAAACCAACACGCTCTTCCAAAAGTTAAATGGGCCTCAGTCATAAACACATTTCTAAAGCATCTGAGGGGAGAAAATAGAGCAGTTATGTGTAACCAAGAACACAAAACGAGTCCAGATTCGGCTCCTCCAGATAAAAACCGAACCAGAACGGGGAAAAGCTTGACAGAAGCTCCCAGACTTAGCAGAAAAACTGAAACGACCTCTCTGCGGAGGTCTTTTACGCAGCGTTTAACTGGAAGGCGCTGCAGGTTTTATGGATGGAGCGAAGGTGAGCGCTCCGGTTGGAGCCAGTCGAGCGTTGTCCTGTAAACCCCGGGAAGCGTTTCCATCCGCGGCCAGAAAAACCGGGAGCCGTAACGCGAGGGAAGGGCTTCTCTTCCTGCTTTAACAGCTGTGTCTAATATGGACACACGCCCTTCCGCGCACAGAAACCCGAGAATCTGGGGGAGCGATTGTTGTTCTCTGTCCTGTGGGTGGCCCCCTCTGACCCGAAAGATCCAGCTAATGACCACAGAACGGAAACCTTCAGCCATCCTTCCTCCTCTGTTCGCCTCAGGAAAGATCGCTGACACGCCAGAGGTGTTTTGTCCATTAAAGCTGTGTTGTGTTCCTCCTTCTGTCCCCCCAGGCCATAAGCAACAAAGACCAGCACAGCATCTCTTACACTCTGTCCCGAGCCCAGACGGTGGTGGTGGAGTACACCCACGACAGCAATACAGACATGTTCCAGGTAACGAGCCGATCGCACCCGTCCGGCCACACGCAGAGTTTTAAAAGCCGAGGTCCGGGATCGAGACGCACAGAGAGGAGCACCGAGCGCCCCACAGAAGCTGAATTTACAGCCGGGGCTTTGTCACCGAAGCCGGCTCGTAAAAGATGCTTTGAAAGCACTCGCGTCTGATTGTTTGCATCAAAATTCCATCTCAAAGCCACTTTAACCACTCGCTCACTCCTCAGAGGTTGGGTTTGTTCGTTTTTCCCCTTTAAAAGTTAGAGACAGATGCACCGACCTGCTCCAAAGAATCAGAGAACCATTAAATCCCCCGTTTACACCCAAAACAACGGGGAAAAGGGCAGCAGATCTTCATCATTGGATGGAGAATATGTCAATAAAAGGGTTCCAAAAATCTGCACCCCGAAAGCCCCGTCAGGGCTTAGATGCACAGACTCACACACATGCGTTCATGTGTGTGTAGCCTGGGTGCAAAGGAGCAGGTCCGAGTGACAAAACGTTAAACAAATAGCAGCTTCTGGTTCAGGTTCTTCCTGAACAAAATGTATTTAGTAGTTCATTTTCCCCCAGAAAGTGGGTTGTGAGTTTTCATGGAGGTCCCTGTGTGGCACCGGGTCTGACTAACCCCCTAATCCCTGTCCTGCCCCCAGATCGGGCGCTCCACGGAGAGTCCCATCGACTTTGTGGTGACGGACACGGTGGCCGGCAGCCAGAGCAACGCCGACACCCAGTCGGTGCAGAGCACCATCTCCCGCTTCGCCTGCCGCATCATGTGCCAGCGCACGCCGCCCTACACCGCGCGCATCTACGCCGCCGGCTTCGACTCCTCCAAGAACATCTTCCTGGGGGTGAGCGCCGTACAGCCGGGGGGGGAGGCAGAGGGGAGGAGGGCTGCTTGTCTCATGTATGGTCAGATTCGCCTCACATCCAGAGGGTTCTGGGTTCCAGTCCCCGTGGGAACCAGGACCTGTATTGTTAAAAAGATCCCCATTAGCCGTCGCCAAAAGTGGGACGAGCTAGTCTTCCTGGAGTCATCCCATGATTTCTTTGTCTCCCGTCTCAGGAAACGGCGCTCCTGTCTTCTTCTCCTTCTTATTCTGTGTGCGGATGTTCTGACCAGGGCTGACCTCTGCCCCTTCCCCTGTCTCTGCTCTCTAACAGGAGAAAGCTGCCAAGTGGAAGACCCTTGACGGTCAGATGGACGGGCTGACCACCAACGGCGTGCTGGTGATGCACCCCCGCCACGGCTTCACGCAGGACTCCAGGCCGGGCGTCTGGAGGGAGATCTCCGTCTGCGGGAACGTCTTCACCCTGCGGGAGACGCGCTCGGCGCAGCAGCGGGGGAAGATGGTGAGAGGCCGCACGCTGGTAGAACACGGGGGTCTTTTATCGTGGCAATCCGGCGCCAAACGCCACGTTGGCCAGGGAGTCAGAGGGGCGGGGCTTTGCAAAATTGTTGAATATTCAGAGGAAGCTGCCAGGCTGAGCTTCCCCCCCCCCGCCCCATATGTTTCCTCACACCAGCTTCCATTTGTTCACACTCGTTAGAGGTTATTGGGATGCCGTCTCCACGGCAACGGCCTTCTGTCATATAGCTGCGTAAGAAGATAGCGCGAGGGATCCTCCAGCTGATGTCACAGGCTCCCAGCCAATCAGGGCCCTGATTGGCTGACTGGATTTGGGGCTCCTTTTTTTCTCCCTCCTCATCCTCCACAACATTTACAGAGTCAGCACTCTGCGGCAATCCGCCTCTTTATCTGGTCTCCCACCTGTTCCCAGATTAACAGCCCCCCCCCCCCAGCTGCCCTTTAGCGCCCCGGCTCTGTGGAGACCTCTCGTTGCTTCACAGTGCCGGCGTCAGCTGCTGTTTTCATTACGAGCAGAACGTAACGAGCCTTAATTATCGGGCTGAACGCACCAGGAGCCGCCGTTTGCCGCCCCCCCCCCCTGTTAGCGTTTGCGGGGCTAACAGTTTAGCAGTCAGAGAGTCATGGTGGCACTTGAAAAAAGGCATTTCTGGAAGTGTTTTTACAGTATTTTTCCTTTTTGAGAACTGAGGGAGAACCTGTGATTGACCTTAACCTGTTGAGCCCTGGGGGAGGGGGGGGGGGTGTTAGAGATCCTGCCCAAACTAGTTTCCTCTCATAGCTGACTCTTGTAGGGTGTGTGCAGCTCTCTGGGGCTTTTCCCCTCAGTGTGCTGGACCTCTGACCCGTTTGTGTCGTTGCATTTTGCGTTTCTATGGGATTCATGAGGATAATTTAAGTTTAGATCGTTGTTTTCTTCGTAACGGGAGGGCCGAGGCTCCGGTTTTTGAGGCATTTCGGGCGTCTCACAGTGTTCATCCCCTCTTAATTGGGTTCGTCTCACAGCCGCCTCTCAGGGGTTAATGGAGGCGCTGCTGGGTAATGCATGAGCAGAGTACAGTGTCTGACCCCCTGCTGTGTTTAATACCGGCTTTGGTGCTGATAAACGAGCCGACCCGCTCCATCTAATGAAACATTGAGGGCGCTGTGTGAGTCGGCTCACCTCGCTGAGGACCGGCCTTTTCACCTTTCTGTCCTCGGGTTAATAATCAGAGCAGCGGCCTCCTGACCCCACATTCCTGCTTTGGAATGAGCAGAAAAAGAAAAAAGGCTCAAAGAAAAACACGAACCAGCACGTCCGTTTGGGAAGGCGTGATCAGGGCGGGAGGCGGAGCCACAGGAGTGACCTCAGCGTTGCTTTTAGTCCTCCGGACAGCCAGAGGAAGGATTCCCCCGAACTCAGGCCTTCCTCCGGTACTATTGGGGCCCAGCTGTCCCTGTCCGGCCTCCACATCTGTCTGAGGGGCGGCGTCTGTGTCACACCGCCACCTGCTGGGCTCAGAGCGCCACTGCAGCGGGCCTGTCCCTGCTGACGTTGGGTACAGGGCCAGTTATACAGTAGAACCTCTACATACTAATGTAATCCGCTCTGGGACCTACTTCCTATGTTAAAATATTCATATGTTGGGTCAAATATTCCCATCAGAATACACGGTGATTCCTATAATTGGTTCCACAGCTCATGATAACTTCTTAATAAATACTGCAGATAATTACACATAGAAAAAAAAAATCCATTATATAAGAGAGATGTAAAAAGAAATAAATAATAAAGAAATAATCAATAAAAGGGGTTTTTGTGACTTCGACGTATGTTTGAAATTTGCTTGGGTTGTCGAGTCGGATATTTGATTGAATTTCACTTTGGATGTTGGAAAATTCGTATGTTTATGCATCGTAAGTAGAGGTTCTGCTGTACAGCCCCGGCTCTTAGGAGGTCCAGACACGCCCTAGTGATGAACACAGACCTTTCAAAGTCAGGCTCCATGTTGGGAAGTGCCGCCATCTTCACAGTGGAGATGCGGAGAGACGGTTTCTGTCCCTGCAACGTCCCACAAAATGCCCCAAAACCAGCTCACAGTGGCTCAGAGGACGTTCAGCAGGTGGTTGTAGTTTCGTTTTTTTTTTGCGGGAAAGGGCCGGAATCAAACCCAGGCCGCCCGCTTATGAGGGGGTCCTCACACATGGTCCGCCCGCTGTAACCGTTGGGCTACGGTGCGGCCCGGTGGTTCTAGCTTCTGAAGCCTCCTTTAACCCCCCCCCTCTGTCTATTCCCCAGGTGGACACGGAGAGCCAGGAGCTGGTGGACGGCTCGCTCATCGACCTGTGCGGCGCCACGCTGCTGTGGCGCACGGCGGAGGGCCTGGCGCGCACGCCCACCCTGAAGCACCTGGAGGCGCTGCGGCAGGAGATCAACGCGGCGCGGCCGCAGTGCCCCGTGGGCTTCAACACGCTGGCCTTCCCCTCCATGCGCCGCAAGGACACGCCCGACGACCGGCAGCCCTGGGTCTACCTGCAGTGCGGCCACGTGCACGGATACCACAACTGGGGCAACCACCGCGAGGAGCGGGAGGGCCGCGAGGGCCGCAGCAGGGAGTGTCCCATGTGCCGGGCCAAGGGCCCCTACGTGCCGCTGTGGCTGGGCTGCGAGGCGGGCTTCTACGTGGACGCCGCGCCGCCCACGCACGCCTTCAACCCCTGCGGCCACGTGTGCTCGGACAAGACGGCGGCCTTCTGGAGCCAGATCCCGCTGCCCCACGGCACGCACACCTTCCACGCCGCCTGCCCCTTCTGCGCCCAGCAGCTGAGCGGCGAGCAGGGCTTCGTCAGACTCATCTTCCAGGGGCCGCTCGACTAGCCGGGCGGGGGGGGGTTGGGTTGGGGTTTTTCCTTTCTGGACTTTTTTTTTTGGGGGCCTCTCTCTCTGATTTTTAAGTGACCTTTGTATTGCTTTTTCATGAATGACCACAGAGATTTCTATATTTTCATGAGAAACCAGAGACACAAAAACCAAACGATGAACACTGCTGGGTACGCTTTGTTTTCCTGGACAGAACTTTCCACAGTATTTATCTGAGCGGCCGCCGCGCCGCAACCCGCGGTTTTCTCCACGGATCTGTGTTCGTCTCTCATAGCTTATTTAAACAAAGAGGTTTATTTATGGCTCCATCCCGTCTGTCAGACTTTAACGATGTGTAATGTTTTCAGTTGAAAAGTCAGTATGTTGTTAAGCAGACATGAAGTTTTAGGCGTGTTATGTGTCCCCCCCCCCCCCCCCCCCGAAAGCCATGTGTCGTATTTATGCTTCCCGTCCTCCCGTGTGCGCTCGCGTCCTGTGCCCCCCCCCCCTCCTCCCCCCGGCTCATCAGATCAGCCATTATCTGGGACGTGTCACTTTCAGAGCAATAGATCTGCAGCAGGAACCTCCTCCAGCATCGGGGGGGCCGCCCCCCCTCCCTTTAAAGAGCCTGGCTGCATCCCACCATACTGACAAGGACTCCTCTGATCAGTGTTAGAATCCCCTCTGGGGGAGAAACAGTGTGCACCTCCTGGTATTTAACACGATTTGGGTGTCACTAACTCTGCGGTTGAAGGTGTGTTGGGATTTTTTAAACTTTTTTTTTTAATCGCATTTACAGCCACGTGAAGTGCAAAGTGAGACCCTTAAAAGTCACTTTGCTGTCACTCCTCGAGGCCACCGAGTCTTCTCAGAGCAGGAGGCACCGAAACGGCGTCCAGATCCGGGTTCTCTCTGCGTACTTCCGGGTTCTCTCTCTGTACATCCGGGTTCTCACCGGAGATCCCCGTGTAGCATTTTTTTTAGGGGCAAAACTCTACGGTGAGAAAGCCGAAACTATCAAGGCCGCCTGACCTCACTTCTAGGTTTTTTGTAAGGAAATATTCGGGTTTTTCATTCTGACGAGAGACAGAATAAATAAAAAGTTTCCGTTTAGAGCATTTTGATTTGCTAGCTTGAAGACGGTGTGTCGCGTGCAAACCAGAGCCTGAGCAGTTGTTTGTCTATGCATTGCCCCCCCCCAAAGCCTCCTCAAGAGTTCCTACTTTTGCACAAATAAAACATTTACACAGCTCCGTCCCACGCGCAGGGAAGGTGAACGACGCCTGTTTCCACGCTGCCTGTGGCACGCGGAGGCAGCCTTGATGTGTTTTTTCCCTCTACGTGAACGCGCAGATTCGCCCAGAGCCCCAGATCTGATGCACACCGGCGAGACTCGCCCGAAACGAGACACAAACACCAACTGTAGAAACCTCCCGTCGGCGGAGCAGCCACTTCCGCTCCAGCAGAGCTTCCGGTCGGCGCGAGAACCGAGCACACCCGCAGGTGGAGGCAACGTCTCGTGTTTGCATGTGAGAAAGAAAGATTGTAATTTATGCGTTGATTGTATGTGTTCAGCTCGTGTTCATCTGTCAACATGAGTCGTATCCTCAGACCGCGACACACTAAAACTCACCTCAGGGAGAAAACTATGACCCGTGCACATGCTCGCGCCCACTGCTTTGGTCATCTGAGGATACCTCACCAGTAAACAAAACAAAACAAAAAACACCCAAACATTTGTGCTCCGTCTCCCGGTCCTGTTTGGTTTTGTTTCACGGACTCTGTGTGATTTAAGGGCTTCCCTTCGTCTCTGTGCTGGTCTCAGCCCTGTTTCTACACGGACCCTATTCCCCGACGCGCACTCTTCTTCTACTACTACTTCTTCTTCTTCGGTCTTTGTGCTTGTAAAAGGCAAAAAGCAAAGAATGTTTTCTGCAAACACTTTTTTGTAACAACTTTAAACAATAAAGTGTAAAAGCGACCTTTTCTGTCTGGTGTTTTTTGAGTGGAGAACAGAAATTCCTGAGACATTATCCAGTTTTGAATTTTTAAGAATAGCTAATGGTTTGCATCTTGTGTTGAAACGTGATGCTCAGTGTCTTTCATGGACGCCTGGCTGTACATAACAGAGTTAAGCCTGTTCTGTTTGTTTCATCTATGGAAATGTCCTCACACAAGATTTTACAGCACACCGTTTAGTTGATTAAAAAAACACATCTAATCTCTGCAACCAGAAATTTTATCAAATTATCTCCTTGTCTATCATAGAAAGATTTCTGAAATTATTCGCCAAGTCCAAGCAGCCTCTGAGAAACTTTCAGGCCTTTTAGCTAAGTTAGCCACATAAGGATCAATCAGTCCCACAAAATAACAGCTCTGGTCCAAAAACACAGCACAATGGGTCAAACGGAGACTCCTGTTACCATCTTTGTGCTTATTGTCCAGTTTGAGGTGACACGTTTTACTCATGCTAGATTTGGGTTACTTAAATTATCTTAAATTTAACATTGTGCTTTTTCTTTGAACATTCTTGTCCCTGGTAAATCTCTTCAGGCCTGTATGACACCCCCAGTGTTGTGGATGAGTCTGGAGACACACGGGTGGCAAAGGACGCATGCTCAATACTTCATATTGCACTTTATTTAGCTGTGAGGAGGCAGAACTCAGCCGAGGCCTCGTTACAGTCACAGATCAACACTTATTGCTTTCGGGCTCCAGTTCTGGGCGGGCTGGACCCATCTGAAGTATGCTCACTCTGTATATGGGTTTTGTATGTGTGTGTGTGTGTGTGTGTAAATCAACATGACTGGAAATACTTCACCTCCTGAAACAGTGCTGGATGAACAGAAAACCAACATGAAGATAAACATGAGAACAAATGACCTGAAATAGAATTAAAAAAGAACGTACAGTGCTGTGAAATCTTTCATCTATCATACATATAACAAAGGCCTTCTTTCCAACATGATACATTTTCTGCTCGATATGGATCTCTACATAGAAAACATGAACACGGCTCATTCAGGCAACACGTCCTCCCAAAATGGCACAAACTTCAGTCAAGGCGCCTCAGTTTGGATGCTGAAAGTCTGCGATGGAAGTACCAGAAGTTCTCTCACAGTTTTAATGGCTCTGAGTTCCCAAATGATCCGTCAGCACAAAAGTCCCCTCAGGATTCGCAAACTCCAACCAGCACTTTTATGAGTGACTGATAACAAAATCCTCACCTTTACTGATCCTTTCAGCGGGATTTGTTTCTTTTTTTTTTTCTAATGGTCAGATAAAAACGAGCTTTCCACCAAATCTAATTCATATCAATGCTTAAAGTCATCTCTGTTCATTTTTGTGACGATAACAACCACAATGACTTTTTCTTTGTTGTGAGACAAACAGAAAAATGAAGAAAGGGCTGCATGCTTTAAGTATTCTGCCTCTACTAAATGACTCCTCTGGTCACTGGGCGGGTTTCTCCAGGCAGAGGTGAGAACTGAATCCTGGGGTGACGTCTTTGTGCTTTCAGTAAATGGTGAAAACTTCTCAATAGCTTTACCTCTGCGTTTCTACAAGGCGTGACTGACGGGCTAAAAGTGCCCCGTCCATCTGAAATCTACTTTAGAGGTTGGATTCTACAGCTAAAGAAAAAAAAAGAGAAAACAAATCAAATCTACGGAGAGAGAAAAAAGGCAAAAAATGTTTTTTTTCTCAGATTTCTTTCCTAGTATTTTTTAAATGGCAGCGATGAAGAGCTAATGGTGAATATTCTGAAAGGGGGCGTGTGTGCCAGCAGGGGGCGCCAGATCCCGGCTCCCACTCAGCGGGGGCTGCTTTGGCTCCGGCCCTAAGGGGAACAGTCACCTCCAATCAATCTGCTGGCGTCAGCGAGGAAAGGGAGGGGGTCACATGACCGGGGTGGGGGCGGGTACCCCCTCAATGGTCCAGGATGCGGAGGTTTCCGGACACAATCTTGTTTTCCAGCATGGAGCCAGCCGGAATATCGATCCGGTCTCCGTGGTTGGCGATGATGATGACGGTGCCCTGAGAGGAGGAAGAGCAGAGGCTTTCTTTAAAAAAAATAAAAATAAAAACGGCCACAAAGCCAGACCCAAAAGGCTGTCGAAACCTTCAGCAGAGTGGATTTAAACTAAACCCAAACGGACCTTGAGCGACACGTTCTTGCCAAAGGTGACGTCCCCGGAGACGGTCAGGTGGTCGAGGTCCAGCATGTCCGGGATGCTCTCGAACCGGGTCAGGTACTCCTGGACCTGAGGGACAGACGGACCCGGGAGGGTTTCAGCCTCCAGGACTCTCAGGGACACGAGTCATCGGCAGGTTAAGGAGTTAACAGTAAAAGAGAAGCCCGTTTAATCCAGAACAGTTTTAAAACAGCTGGATTTAGAGGAAACCCTAAAGTCTCTAAATCAGGCAGCCAGGTGATAAAAGGTTTTCCTAGAAGGGAGACATTTTAAAACCTTTTCCAGAATTAAAATGGTTCTTTTTGATTGTATTCAATTAAAAATCATTCATAGATGGCACAGAACCCCCAGACAACTCCATAAATGGAATCTGATTTTAAAGACACTTGCTGGAGATGTAAAGAGGAGGGAGCATCTATTCTACACGTTCTCTGGACCTGCCCTCTTCAAGACTGGTGGAAGAACATTATGGAAGTCACGGTTTAATGGCACTGTCAAGCTGGTGGTTTTAGGCTCAACATAAAACTCCCAGACTCATACGTCTCCCCTTTTGACCAGAGGTGGCTTATACATATTTGCTCTAGGTTTTATAAAACAAAAAACTCAATAAAACTTGCATTATAAAAATGTTAAAAAAGGTTATTTTTGGAATAATAAAGTACTTTATAGCCAAATGGGGCCCTTTGTACTTAATAACCAAATGGGGCCCTTTGGAACAGCCTGAAGGATTCCTAAAGCTAACCAAACCCCGGGTCCCGTACCTTGGTGAAGGAGCTGCCCAGCTTGACGTGCGGCGTGGAGGGGAACTCCCTGCGGGGGCTCATGGTGAGCGAGCCGGCCTCCAGGCTGTACAGGTTGGACATGACCAGCAGCAGGTCCGACGTGGTCTTGACGGGCAGGAAGCGGCTGCGGGGCACGTTGATCCCCAGGGCGTTGTCGAAGCACTTGATGGCGGCGCCCACCGCCGTCTCCAGCTGGATGACGTTCAGACCCCCGTCCAGCGTCTGAGCAGAAAGAAGCAGAGACCGGTGTTTCTGTCAGGTCAGCTTAAAGGAAAACTGGCAGAATTCGGTCAGGAATCAAAGGATCGTTCCTCGTTTTTTGTGGTTTACCCCCGAACACTGGCTGTAACTGGGGTTAAATTATGTAGCTTTATTGTGTTGATGCCAGATTGTCAGCATGGGGGGAAAAATAGCTAAAGCCAAAGTGGTGATTCTGGGCTGAAAATAACTACAGCAAAAAGGCTTCAAACTTTGTCTGCCTTTATGGGAGCTTTTCTATTCCATCTCAGAGACCGACACGGGGGCTTAAAACCTGCTCATGGCGGTTTTTCTGCGGTTTAACCGACATTTGGACCTTTGCTTTGTCACTGACGGCTTCCTTCCTTCCAGACTGCTGAGTCATGCTTATTCTTCACAGAAATCTGCTTTAGTTGGTGGGACTTGGTGTGACTGTGTGTGTGTTTGTGTGTGTGGGGGGGTGTTTCCTGCCTTGGGGTTGACGATGATCTCCAGGTCCATGGTCTCCTGCTCCTGCAGCCTCTTCATGGCGGCCAGGGAGATCCACAGGTTGTTGGTGTTGAAGATCTTGAACTTGGACACCGACTTGAACTCGTCCACGTGGGCTTTGGGCACCTGGGCGATCTCCAGCAGACGCAGCTTCCCCTCGTACTGGATCAGCGTGCCTCCCTGAACGCACCACAGCCGGCCCGTTTAAACCCGTCCTCCCCGGGGGCGCCCCCCCCCCCCCCTCGCCTACCTTGACGTCGGCGCGCGTCTTGTCGGTGACCTCCATGACGAACTCGCAGCGGCGGCCGTTGGGCTGGCTCACCAGGTGGTGCAGGATGTGCAGGTCCACCGTGGCGCCCAGGTTGTCGATGTTGGACACGAAGATGTACTCCTTGCCCTGCGCGATCAGCTGGTCCAGCAGCCCCGAGTTGGAGAAGCTGGCGTAGACGTCGCCGTGGCCGGGGGGGTACCAGGCCTCCGCGTTGGGCCCCGCCATGCTCAGGTTGGTGGCCACCGGCAGGAGGGACTCCTTGTTCACGCGAGGGTACCTGAGCAAAAAGGGGGCCTTTACAACCAGAGAAACACCCGGGATCGAACCATACAGAACCGTTCAGGAATCCTGAATGGTTCCCCGTCTGTGACCACCAGGGGGCAGCGCAGCTACCTGCTGGCTGTTCAGAGGAACACAGGTTAGTGTGTCCAGCTGCTTTTCAGCTGTTAAGAAAACGCCACGAAAAGAGGACCAAAAAAAAAGAAGAAAGGTGGTTGGGTTCATCTCTGATTTGAATTGAATGAAAAACTTTGGACCGACTTCCCTGAACGTCCCCGTTTGGAAGTGACTTTTTAAACCTTTTTCTCCAAGCCGCCATCATTAAATTTATCAAAGCGTTTGTTAGGAGGATCCACGTCGGGTGGCGTTAACAAACCCCACAGTGAGGGGCTGTGCTGGGGGGGGGGTAAGCCAGTCACATGACCAGCTGAGAGGAGCTGCTGGCTAAAGACACCAAGGCCTTTTTTAACGAGGGCTAATTCCACTTCTAGAACAATCTCTCTTTTTTTCTTTCTTTGTCAGATGTTTTGGGATAATCCTACTGACTTAGAAGCTTTTGCTCAACTCTCTCCAAAAATCTGTCTTTCCAGGAGTCAGAAACTGACAGAGTCTGCAGCTTGAGCCAGCTGATCTGGGATGGGAGTCTGGAGTAACTCCGAGGTTTCTGGTTTTATTTGCAGCCTTTTCAACAGTCGGCTCAAATGCATTTACCTGCTGTGTGAATGCCTCACGTCCTGCAAACATTCAGAAATCAGCTCAGAGGTCCAGGACAGAGCAGGGACATAAAACATCTGGAAATGTGGGGGGAGCTGAGCTCGTTTAATTATTTTTCTTGCAGTAATTCATTATCATTTCCACCATTATGCTTTTTTCCCCCAAAACCCATTTGCCCTTTATTGTTTTCCGGATGTATGATAATTCATTTGGGATTTCCTTCTCCAATAATGCCTCAGAACTTTAGAAGCCCTTTGGATGCCGTTTAATTGTTCCTCTTTTCTCTTTCTGGCGAGTTTCTTTTCAGCCAAAAACACAAAGGGACGGAGCGGTTTATGGATTCCCTGTTTTTTCCTCCATTAACTCCACCAGCAGCAGTTTGACACCAACGCCGGCTGTAATTGGATTTCTATGAATTACTGCTGTGACCTCGACTTCCCTTTGTTCTCCCACTGATTGACATTCGGCCGCCTTTCCGCCACCGACATTAAATCCTGCAGCCAATATGCCCCCCCCCCCCCCCCCTCCCCCCCGGAGGCTCACAGAACGCCATGAATAACTTAAGACTGAAAAACTCCACCATGTGAGGCCGTTCAGGGCCACGTGTTTCACGACATTCCCGGTCTGGACGCCGCTCACCTGCTCTGGTTGAAGGTGTGGATCTTGACCCGGTGGTGCGTGTACTTCTGCAGGATCTTCTTGGTGTCTTCGTCTGTGTTGAAGGAATTCATGAGGACCAGGGGGACGTCGGTGTTGTACGTCTTGTTCAGGTGCTGCAAAACAAAAACGCACCTCAGGCCTCCGTTGGAAAAAAAATGGTGGAGCAGCAGCTTTAAAACGCAGCACGACGCTCATCTTTGTATTTCCAAACGATTTACCGGCAGCTAGTGACATGCATGCATTAGGATACGTGGGAGAATCTGAGTCTGAATCATATATAATATATTAATATACAGTATTTTACTTGAATTTCTCAAGCAATCACTAGAAGGAAAAGGAACATTGTTGAGGTAGTTAGTCCATATAATGAACCATTTTTAAATCTATCTACTATTTTCCTTTTTTGAATCCAAATCATTAGATTTTTAGTCAAATTTGAACAACACATCAAAACTTGTGGTGATATTAAAAGGAGAATGATGCAATTTATGAGGCGTGTCATATAAAACGAGGAGAATGTGACCTCAGACACACAAAAAACTAAGTCAATGGATGACGTGGAGCTAAAAACAGCTTCTTTTTCAGAAAACAAGGAGAGGCTTTGCTTTCTTTTGGGTGTTGGCTGGCCAATGACGTGAAAGAGCTTCATAATATGCACATCCTGGTCCATGCTGGACTCATGAGCACCTCCATCTTTCTATAGAGCAAGATGTAAACAAACCAAACAAAGGATGGATTGATAGCTTTGAGTTGGAGTATGTTGGCAGAGGGTGTACGAAGGCGAGGACGACTGAAGCTGGAAAAGTAAAGCTTAAAGAAACCCAGAAGGTCCCCTATGGGAATGAATCCACTCCATACAGTATGCTTTGTATCAATCAGGGCAAATGTTTGTCGTAGAACAGTTCTTTCTTGGTTCAGTAACTTATCTTCCTCGTGGTTTGTTGTAGGAGGGTAAACCTGTTCATGAGGGCTGGAAAAAAACGTCCTTCTGGAAGTTCAGCATAGAGCCGAGCGTTATAAATGAAGCCGAAATCAAGTTTCCCCACAGAGTTTTTAATAGATTTAACCTCCTTTTAGTCTTGTTTTTGTGTGTTTCTTCGGCAACGCCCCCCTAAAGTGACCTATCTGCTGATCGGAGTCCCTGTAAATGAACCTTAAAACAAAAATTTGACTCCATGCTCTCAGTCAGGGAGCTGAGATGATTTCAACCCAACATGGCTCAGAGGGGTGTTTTCACACAGTTCATTTTGGAGGGTCTGGGTGTGTGTGTGTGTGTGTGTGTGTGTGTGTGTGTGTGTGTGAGGGAGAGAGAGCTCCATTTTCCTCCTCTCTCAATAGAGCGATTCAGTCAGCAGGTAACCTGACCAGACCTGAGCAGAAAATGGAAAGCGGTGTACCGGGGAGGAGCGAAGCGTCCCCTGAGACCATTATGAAACATCCACTAACACAACATGGCCACACACACACAGATAACATACCCACTACTTAAGATTCAAACACGATCGCCTCAAGTCTTCCATAAAAAAAAAAAGAGGACTGAAAATGTGATGCTGTGATCATTTCATTTCTAATAATGAAGGCGTATGGACTCGGAGGCTGAGCGGGGAGCTAATGAAGGAGACGGAGGAGGCCCGGGTCCACAGAGCCGCACACAGCCGCCTCTGTTTCGCTGCCAAACAGCACACCAGCAGCCCCTCTTTCACTCAAAATCCCCCCACATGTCACACTGAACTCCTTTCAAAGCCTCCAGCTCTCCAACAACATGGCATTCATTAAATCATTCAGGCCTGCAGGAGAAGCTGTATCTTACCCATCAGATTCAGTCGGGGTTTAACATTTTTTTAAACTGATTTACATCTGCGCTTCTCTGCTGTAGCTTAATTAAATGACACATCTCCGGCCAGCCCTGTGCAGAGCACATGTCTGTACTGCGGACCAAACGTCTCCTGTTACAGCTTCGTATCGTACTGGACGCTCAGCCAACGCCCTGCGCCAGAGCTGGACCACAGCAGGAGACCAGAGCATTTTCAAATAACAAGCAGGCAATAACTCATCTATAAACACTCACAGAGGTACTCTACAATCAGAGTTCTGTGTTGTGTGTGTGTGTGGATAGGGGGGGGGGGTAGCTTTTAAAAGCAGACTTTCAAGCTTCTCTGTGGCTGAACTCATGGCTCTGGTCAGACTTTAGAGAAGAACGCATCGATGATTCGGTAGCGCATGAAGCTCCCTTGCTGCTCAAGAAACAACTAAACAGATAAGAAGAAAATCCCAGTCTCTCCCATAACAAGTCAGCGAGCTAACTCTCAATTCAGATGCCCCAAAACAGACACGAGCCGATACCCCTCTAGGTGGGGATTCCCCATTATTCTTAACCAGAACAGGCCCATGTTTACATCACAGTCTCCTTCCTAAATCTAGGATTTTACCCATCAGAACCTTTAAGAATAAATCCGTATGAGGCCTTTAAATGACATCCATTTCAATTGAAGAATTCAAACATGAGGCCATGGGCTGAGACTGGCTCACCAACAGGATAAAGATCCTGCTGAGAAAGCTTGAAAAGGAAAGGAATGGCGGTGTGCAGCGGTCCAGTCAGAGGCCGGAGCTCAGCCTGATGAAATGCTGTGGTGGGAGCTCCATGAGCTGAGGCACCACTGAAGGAAGAGAGGGCCAAATTCCTCCCGAACCAGGAAAAAAACCGATAACATTTTGCGAGAAGGATCATTTCAGGATATCGCTGCTGAAGGTGGTTATACATGCTGTTTAATAAGAGCTAAAAACACACAGCCTTCTCCATTTAGGATCGCTTCCTGATAAATAAGTTGGTTATTGTTTATCTGAGCATTCATCTGGTTGAGACCTGATGGTGGTCCTAATCTGATATGCGAGTGGACTTTCTTATTCTAATGGCTGCTGCAGGTGGGAAAGGGGGAACGGTCAAGATGGTGAAACTATGAGCGTTCAGGAACCAAAACACAAGCAGGTCGTAATGAGAATGATGATGTGGTTTATATCGAAGCTAAAAAAAATAAAAAACAAAAAAAAGAGGGAAAAACAAGCGGGTGAATCGTGTAAATGAGCCCGGTTGTCCGTCCCTCCGCGGCTGGAAGGACCCAGGAGGGGCGGCCCTACCTCTATCTGCTTCACTGTGAGGTCCAGGAAGGTGTTCTCGTTGCGGACGCTGATCAGGCTCTTGGGGCCCTTGCAGCCCATGCTGGTGCCCAGACCCCCGTTCAGCTTCACCACCACCAGCTTGTTCAGGCTGTCGGCCACGCTGTCCGGCAGCCCGCGGGCCGCGATCTTATCATAGGGCTGGATCTGGAGGGGGGGGGGACACAAGAACACCACGTTAGGACAATCCAGACTGTTTAAGTGTTGTTCCAAGATGATGGGATGACCTAGCAAGTGCTAGAAGAACAACAGTGTCCCTGTCTATCTTCAGGAAACTCTTAAAGACCCCCCTCTTTAAAGAGCACGTCCTATCCTAACTCTTAATCATACCTTTATTCCCCTCTACTATTTCTGCCCTTCCCTCTCTCTCTTTGCCGTCACCACTGATTCCGACTAGGGATTTTTCTCTAGAGAACTTGTAACTGTAACACTGTGTTTACTTTGTAAGTCACTTTTAAATGCATAAACATAAAGGGCAGTCAGCCGGTGTCCTGATCAGTCATGACTCAACACAGCCACTTCTGGATGTGGTTTACGGGTCATTGTGAGAGTAAACCACATGCTCTGAGAACAACCCCGACCAGGATAACCAGTTTGTGTGAAGGGGGGGGGGGGGGGCTTTAAAATGACGTGTGGCAGCGGCTCTCTGCTCGTCAGATAAGTGTTTGAGCTACATTTATTCTCTCATCAGAAAAACAAAAGGGGCCAACCAGATGCGACAGCAGGTCAGGAGGAGAGGCCGGATGCCCCCTCTGCTGCCCCCAGACACCCGGCAGAGTCAGAGGACACGCGGCAGACCTCCTCTGGCGCTCACCTCCCTTCCTCCCCACACAGAGGATCGGGCTACAGATGTGACCTGCCCTCGAACCCCCGGGCCTCCACAGAGGTGCCAACCCGTCACCGAGGAGGGCGACAAGTAAACGGGTCCCAAAGAGTCACAGCTTTTCCCCAATCGGGTCCCTGCTGTTGTTGGGGGGAAGACATTTTTCTTTAAAAGCCCACATCTCCATCTTAACCCTTTACCCCCATAGGAATGATTTACCCCCTTTAAAACACACAGATGGGGTTTTAATAATTTCCCTCTGGGATTATTAAAGTATTTCTGATTCTGATTTCCTCCTACAAACTGGAGCCAGCGCCTCATTTAAAGCTACAGGATGTTTGATCTGATGCACAGAGCTCCACAGATCCATCATCCACCATGCGTGTTATCACCAGTCTGAGTAACTGCCACTGGAGGTTGGCTCCCCTGTGCCGCATCCCTTTAAACGCATACCTGGAGGGGGGCCTTCCACCGTCTGTTTTATCCTACACATGCAGGCTGGATTTCCTTTAATATCGCACTTCCATAGAGGTTATCATTTCCCAGAGATACAAGACATGAGACAAAAGCAGTGCACAGGATTACTGATGCTCAAGGAAAACTTTACTTTTAATAAACCAACTACCCCCCCACCGCCATATCGGAGAATTCTATCATTTTCTCTACAACTTCTTAGATTATAGACTGCCTTGTATAAATGCAGCTATGCAACATGATAAAAACCAAAAAGGATTGAGATGCGTGCTTGTTTTCTGGTTTATAAAGAGAAGTTTTTACCTGCAGATCTAATCTAAAAAAAACATGGATATTTGTAGGCCTGACGCCAAATGATGTGTCCTGTTGTTCATTCCGCCTTAATGCTTGATGACTATATCCTGGACTCCATCGTGTGGATTAAATGTCATTCAGTGTTTATCTTGGCAAACAGAAAACACCAAAAACACGTCAACCTGTAGGTCGTCCTCTCTTTCTCTTTGCTTCACAAATATATTTTGATCTCAGTGACGGATTGTGCAAACATGATCATCAACGTCCAAAAGAGGCCGTATTTTCCAAGTGTTATGCTGAGAATAGTTCTCTGGGCTTTACTTTGGCTTCTTTTTCACTCAATATCAGTCAAGTTCTTGGACATTTTCCATTTTCTATAGTTTTTTGGCATTTTGTGACTGACAGTCTATAACAAAAAGGACATAATTTATGCCATGTATGAAAAACACGAAAGTAAGTTTCCAGGGGTAAAACATGTCACCTGGGGTCAAAATAAGGTACCCCCAGGCCCATAAACATGCCTCTATTTACTGTTTTGAAGCATTATGAGTTGTTATACATAAGTATTATGTACACAGTGTTAATATTTGTGAATGAAACAAAGTGAGAAAAGCTCCACAGCGCCCCCGTCTCAAACATGTGGGGATCCACCTTGTTTCTTCATCTTTTCTTTCTTTCTTTAAGTTTTTGGTGTAGTTATTTTTTCTAAAAGATTTTTTGGGGCGAGGATAGTCCACTTACTTGTGTTAGACAGTGAACACAGCTACAGGGTTTGTATCCCATCAAAGACATAAATGTTTAATCCACCCTTATTTATGTTAGTCGAACACATTATGAACTGTTTTCTTTTGCCTAATTTTTCTCTGTTTAACAACAGTGAGGTCACTGGAGGCTTTCCACCATCACACATGTAAACAGAAGCATTTAAAGAACTCGGCCTCTGGTCCTCATAATCTGTGGAAAGGATCTTACTCCGCACAGGAGTGAGCTAAAAGAAATAACAGCTTAGTTGGCCATTAACGAAAACTGAACCCCGAGTCTTTACTCAGTTGTCTTTGTGCTGATTGGACTCGTTTAAAAAGATTATGTCTAAACTTTGGTTTTCTCCCATTTAAATGTCTAGAGTTCCTAACACATAAACCAGTCTGTGTCAACACATGCGCCTTTATTCTTAATTATGTTCTAATTATTTCAGAATTTGCCCAGCAATAATAATTCTATATGTACGAGGTCTGTTATACCACACATAGAAAATGTTCATAAACTGTTTGGTAACGTATTGGACGAAAAGGTGTAAGAGAACTGAAGGATTATTTTACACTTATTGCTTCCTAAAACCAGGAGGACAACAGCTGGGACTATTTGCTCTCATTTGAAAAGAAATGATAAAAAAACACAGTATCACATCAGGATCCTGAGTAAACACTGGCATGGACTGCTACAAACCATTAAATACTTCTGTTAGAATAATAGCCTCCTGTAAAAATGGTGACATCTCCGGCATCGATTTGGCCGAGTTGTGTTCAGTTAATTTGTCTAAAATGCTTCTTAGTTTCCATCGGATGCCAAAAATACTGGGATTAATTACTGGTGATGGAGGTCAGGCTGTCACCAGCTCAGACTGCAGCAGTGAGACACCAACCAGCTTAATTACTGACAACGTTTTTGTCGCCCGTTTTGTCCTTCACCCACACTCCAAGGCAGTAAAATTCAGCAAAGCATTTGACCAAATTCAACATCAGCGATACTTTAAAAACTCATCTCTAATCGGCTTCCAATTCCCCAGTGAGGCCTCCTCTGCTTTTCCCTTCGCCTGATCTGTTTTCTGAGCTTGAATCTACTCAGTTTCTAAAAGGCAGAAACAAAAACTGGCAGTAAAGATTATGAGGGATAAATAGTCCCTTCCTCCCCCTCACTACAAGAAGGTTTCCAAAAGAATCTGCTGCAGGAATGCAAAGAGAAAACGAGAAATGAGAAATACCAAAAGAAAGCCAAGAAATGCCAGAAAAATGCCGGTCGTTTTTTCTGAACTTGAACAAATTGTTTCAAAAGGAGTTTAAGCCACATGCATCTTCTGAGAGGGGTTGGAAACATTTATCTGGGAACAGAACAGCCAGTTCGTAAATATCAAAAACAGACTGAATGTGGTCAGGAATTACAAAATATCTCCTTGGAAGGCAAAGTCCTGCCTCTTGGTCTGCTGTGCTTTTACTCTTCAGAGATCAATAAGTTAAACCTGGGAATCAATATTCATTAAACCCCTTTTTAAAGGAAAGGAAAAAAACTGTCTTCTTAGCCAACCTCTGAAAATCTTTGCGTTGACCTGATCAGAGGAGGGTGGGCCGGCTGTACTATAAACACAAACCGCTCATTCTCTGGACCAGAAAAAGGAAACAAGGACCGTATTCCAACAACTCTACATCAACTGTACCAAGCAAATCAGGAACATTCAAATTCTGTCCACAGATCCCCACTCATGTTTGCCGGGTGGAGCCTTCCCGTCATATGGGCACATAAAAAGGTGTCATGTAAAGTCAAACAAATGGGCAGTGAGCAGCAGTAAACACTGAACAGGATTCGGTCCTTTCTCCCTCACTGACGTGTTCCTAAAGGAGTCCAAGCTGGGAACGTTTTGCTTTGGAAAGAACTCAGAGGCTGTATCGGATATCAGGCGTGCTGGCAAAGCCCCTAAACATGCCGGATCTGGCTAAGTCCTGGCAGAAAGAGCACATCTGCTTGCAGTGGAGCAGGAACTGTAACACAGGTGTGCATGTATGACGCAGTTTAACCAGCTGCCTCCGTGTTCATCTCGGCTCTCAGGCTGCTCGACAACGTCCCGATCACGATTCAGAAATCCACCACGTCGGGGTCCGGCTGCACATCAGAAAGGTTTTCCGTTTGACCTTTTCATATTTAGCTCTGGAGCTCAGGCACAACCCGGAAACCCGGCGCCGGAGTCACTGATCCCGAGGTGCCGTAGACTTTTAGCTAAACTTTTAGACATTTAGCTAATTTTGCTTTAGACCCACAGACCAACCGGCACGATCCATCTTCAAAAACCACTCAACCATAGAAGAATGGAAGCAATAAGCAAACCTTTGTGTGCACAAAGGGGCAGAAAAGAGATGATCATGTTAACCAGCAGGGTCTTGGGCAAAGGATTTATCTTTGAAGTAGGTTATGGAGACACTGTTGCACAAGACCGGATGCGGCAACCTTCCTGATGAAGACAACTACTGTTTCCCTGGCCAACTCTGACCTAACGCAATAGTGATATCCAACTGGGTCAACTAGATAACCCCGTCAGTAACGCTGCATCCATTTCAAAGGGGGAAAAGTCACTGTTCATGTTTACGGCTCCCACAGATACAGAAGTGGATATCAGGAAAACAAAAAAAAAACAGAAGAACCCCAGATAAAACTAAGACTTTTGCTCATTTAATTTATTGCACTAAGGACTCAAGACAGAATCTACTGAAACTCTAAATCTACAGATGAAGACAGGAGCTGCAATCACTCCATGATGTAACGACTTATCAGTGTTGGGTCAGCAGCCTATCCACACTTTAACGGAAACCTACTCCTCTTTCTGGAGTCCTGCTCTGGCGTAAACAAACTGCACAGATCCCGTTTCTCCACCTCTGACCGGGGGCGGCCTGCGCCCGCTTGAGCGCCCGTCAAAGAGACCTGCATCACTCTGGTGAATCATTTCAGCCCCGAAAAAATACATTGAAAAAATAAATAAATAAAAAGAGTGTTTAAAGAGTCAGGCTGACCTGTTATCCAGTGAGGCAACGGGTGCAAACAAACTTATGCAACTCCTCTATTTGCTGAGCAATTTTAATGCTTGAGAGGTTCCTTACAATGACTCTGTGTAGTATTTGAGCTTTTGTTCTTACTGCTCCAGTTGGGACTTTAGAAGCAGGCCAGCGAAAAATAAATAAACAAAAATAAACAGTATCCAAAGATTGCAAGATATTAAACACTTTTTTGTGTTCAGTTCGGCCTTTTAAGTACTTCCTGGTTTAGCCAAAGCACCACAAACAGGAGGACTTTCACAGATTGCTTCTAAAGCAGAAACGCAACTGATTTCAAATAAATGCTGGATGGAAACACAAATTATTGTGTGGGATGTACATCCAGAGTTTTAATTTTCTCTGAGATTCTTCCAGTCAAAGCAAACTTACAGAGTCTTCCGGAGGTCTTTGGATCTTGATCCACTCCACCGATGGCCCCTTCACCTGCAGGAATCTGTGGTAGAGGTTCTTGAAGCCCTCAAAGTCCTTCTTGGAAACCTGGAACACATTTCATTTCATTTCAAGTCTTTAGTCATTGGAGACAGTCAGGCAAAGATATGTAAAGTCACTAGATCAGCCTGCCACAATTATTGGTGCTGTAGAAAGCAAAAGAGAACATCCAGAAAATGTGCACTCTTTGCAAAGTGGTCACACTGAAACCACATTTTACTTTATTTCTCTTTTCCCCCCCCGGACTTGTCTGCCAAATTCAAATTTTCTGTATTTTTTTTTTTTTTTTTAAGCGTTCACAGCAAAGCTCGAGTTTTACTTCAGCCAACACATGACACAAAAAGCAGAAATAGTGTTAACTTTGTGCCAAATCAGCTCATCTTTTCAGTTCTAATGAGCCACAACTTCAGACACTTTGACGAGGGCTTAAAGCTGAGGCATGGTTTTCATCATCTGAAATTAAATCAGTGTGTCTTTTTTTTCATCCAGTTCTGAGTTGTAAAAAAAAAGGAAAGCTGCTCTATATCATCATTAGGAAAGACAAAATATTCATAGATAACATAACTCCTAAACTTATGGACTCAAAAACAAGAAGTCCTGAGCTTAAGAAGAGATATCATACTTTTTCCACTGTAAACAGGGTTGATTTTACTCTTATCTGAGAAAGCAACACTGATTATTTTTAAGCTGAAAATAAACAAGTAGCTCCACAGCTGAGAAAGTTCAAGAATAACAGCCAAGTTTAGCTAAGATATTTGCAAATCAATTAACCTGCGCTTTGCATGAGTATTTATACACTCACTTTTACATACACATAAATCTAGATTCCCACTTTGAGGATGACATATGCATGACTTCATGATTCAGCTATAAAAATTTTGACTTGAAGCCAAGTTATTAAACTAACAACCATGTCAAATGAGAACATAAAGAGGGGACAAAACATAATAAAAGAAAGGGGGGGAGGAAAGGACATTTGAATGACATTTGTGGTAAAAAAAATAAAATAATAATAATAATAAAAAATTATATAAAAGAAGAGGAAAAAATGTATATACATGAAGCATGTAAGGGTCTATTCCTGGATAGAGAGAATATTAAACAACCCTGTGGGCGGCCCGTCACTGGGCTGCTACTTCATGTTTGTATTTATTGACACAACAGTTCAACCTGAGAGTTTCCCACAGATGAGTAAGAGCGCCGGAGAGCGACCCTCCGTCGACTCCTCCGCCGCGCTGCACTCCGTCTGTGTCACGCTTTCTGCTCCTTAAACAGTCCATTTAAAAACAGACAGAGGCTGCTGCTCGGCCATGTGTGTGCGGGCGAGAGCACTTTGGCGTCCCGTTTTAGGCTTCCTCTGACTTATTTAAGACCAGAAAAAGTCAAAGGAAAAAGACAAAAAAAATAAGCTTAAATGATTCAAGAGATGGTTTTTAGTTTTTGACATCATTGATTGGCTGCAATGGGACCCAGACCTGTCTCTGTGTTCATCTCTAAGCTAAAATTTAACACGTTTTGGGACTCAGAACAGTCTCAGTGTTAATCTTTAAGCTAAAATTGAACATGTTTTGGTGGTCTTAGTCTGGTTTGACTGGATAAATGGATGCCTGTTTGATTGTGTGCATGTCTGCGCTGATGTAGGTGGAACCCTTTCTGGCACGGCGCTACAGTATGTGTCACTTTTGTGTTTTCCCAGCATTAGTGTGACGTCACCGCCCTCTAAATCACAAGCAGATGGTCAGACGGAGCGGGCGCACCTCTTTCTCGGCCCCCGCGGAGCCCAGAAGTTTCTCCAGCTCGGCGTGCATGGAGCTCTCCAGCTGCTGCCGCATCATTTCCTGGAACTGAGCCATACCTTTGGTGGGTGCTCCCCTACACAAACCTGGACAGACAGGAAAGGAGGAATCAAGGTTTTGCAATGTTGGAAAACACAGCGAGACGCGTTCATCCGCTCCTGGATCACAGGCCGGACGGTACATTACAAATTCAAGAAAACTTTATCACTCAAACACAAACAAAATTCCCAAAATGTGATGATTTATTAGCTTTGAATTTGAGAAAAAATTAAGACCTTCTTTAGCTGTCTGTTTTTTCAGTAGCTCAGATTTATTCTCTGTAACAAAAGCTTCAGTCTTCAAACTTTAAGGTAAAAAAAATAAATCTGTTCAATAGGAAACAGGCCTAATTTCTCTTTTCAGAATACATCGTTCTCTACTCTGCATGGTGATTTGGAAAATAGTTTGCTTTTATAGTTTTCCAGGCAGCTGAGGCTTTTCTAGTTAAATTCAGAGTTATCAGCAGAAGCTATGGATACAAATGTGGGCTTCTTTTCACATCAGGAAATTAAAAAGTGGGCTGAAAAGTCTGACAGCTGAAGGATATAGTGTGTACGGCAATAATGACAGATTCTTTATCTGTCTTTGTACCACGATTCCCGACAACTATAGCCATAAACATGTAATTAAAGCTTCTAAATCATCTAAAAGAAGACAGCTACTTATAATTATAATCATGAAAAAGGCTGTTATCCATTAACATTGATAATATTTATCGGATATCAGCACTGACCTAAAAGTCAGTGCTTCAGCAAACACAAGCAGAGTATTTCAGTGTCATTGTAATAAACTTTTATACTAAAGGCTGACTGCAATCCTTATCATGTTAATGATCACCCAGCAGGAGGAGAAAACATGAGTGCTCCTCGCCTTTAAGACGATAATACAGGAAGATGTTTCCTTATAGCCGTTGTACAGGTTTTGAAAGAGGAATTTAACCCTTTAAACATTTTTTAAAAAAACCTGCTTGGTGCGTCTGGTGTTTCCGGCTGGATGACTTCAGTTTTTAAGACGATTATTTTTACTTCTTACTGTTTTATTAGATGACAAAGCACTAAAGACAACAAGAAACCGGCTTTAGAGAACGTCAGGTGCAGCTGCCAGAGCACTGGGTTAACAGGTAGTGAAAGCAGAAACGGGGGCAGGTTTGGAACGGGGTGTCCACATGTTTTAAATTCCTCAAACCACAAAGAGTGGCCGGCTTGACTGCGTGACTCTGGCAGGAACCCTTAAGTTACCAAACGGCTACGGCTGAAGGAAGCTGGTAAAAGCTGCAGAGCCAGCAGGCTGGTCCACTTTGGAGTAACCCAAACACAAACGGGACCCGATTTCACCGTCTCACGGCAAAACGTTTGGGGCTCAGCTGGTTCCTGGGCCGATGGGACGGGACTGTGGGAACTCCTCACTTGGCTTCCGTTGGTTAAAATGACTATCAAATATTTATTAAAGCTGAAAGGAAACGCAGAGGGGAGAAGCCATGTGGATAGTAGAGACGGTATCCATCTTGTAGGGCTGCATGCCAGTGAGGTGGACACCAGACAGCTGGAGCCCACTCAGCATCTTAACAGCCCATCAGAACGGGATTTATTCTCCACTCAGCTGAAACAAACCCACCACTCTGTGCTCCCACCAACAAGATCAACTAAAGGCTGAAGAAAGCAGCTCCAAGTCAGAGCTGCCAAAATGGGGAAATTAACTGTCTTTAACGGTGGATTAAACTACTCCAGATGAGTCATTGGAAATGAAATATCTCTTTCTGTTTTGGACTCTTAAAATATAGATGGCAGGAATAACAGTAGAGGATGACATTCACTTAAAGAAATGGTAAGAAAAAAGAAAACTAGGACCCAGTTTGAGCCATTTTTAGGAGGTTGAATAAAGTCAATTATCAGGATTTTGACAAGTTACTGCAATCAACTCATTATTAGCTGAAACAGCCCTTCTGTGGGGTTAATATCACCCAAAGATGATTGCTTTAACTTCTTTCATATCACAGTTGTCTCAAGATGATTACTGATGCTAAAGCGTTTCTGTTCTGCAAACATTTCTGCGTCTTCTAAAGACAGCAACCCCTCCTCCAACACATCTGATTTCCCAGCTTGCACACACACTGGAGAGCTCTTCTCTATTTAACTTTGTGCCACTGAAATGGTGAGCCCAGGTGGAGGGTCGGCATAAAACCACCGTTTAGTGGCAGCCCGACACTTTAATCATTTCAGGTGAGAATTAAATGTGTTGGTGTTGATTATTTACCCTAAAATAAATTTAATAGGAGGATTACTGTGCCAACCCCCGCATCAGATGCAACTGGAGCGTCACATCATAGCATTAGTGATCAAATCCACTGTGACATTTCACAGAGTTTACAAGCCCGAGTTTGTTCAAGCAGAAGAAGTTTTCAGCTCATCAGACATTTAAGACGCAAATGTAACTAAATCTGTCCTCACAAATCTGCTGACTCCGGCACGTTTGGGAGTGAGCTCGTAAAAAAATGAGGAACTCCATTACAGCAAATAAACCTGAAAAGCTGTGAACAGAGCTCCATTTGTCCTGGTTCATTCTATACAAACACAAGTTAAAGAAAACTGGTGCAAGCTTTAGGGTCAAATTTGAGCAAGCTTCTAAAAAAAAGCAGCAGTAAGTCTGACATTTGAGAATAATATCCATTTTAATCAGAGAAGGTAAAATCAAATAAATTCAACTAAAAGCTGCTTCCTTTTAGTTGGTAAAAACACTGAAAAATTACCAGGTTTCTGTGAATAACACACCAGGGAAAGTGGTTGGTTCCAGAGGATGGTCTCCAGATGATAGGAGTAAAAAAAATAAACATCATTTTTAAACCCATAACGAAAAAGGTATGCAGTTTCCCCTTTAAGAGAAAAAAAAAGGTTAATCAAAACTTACCCTCTACATAAAGTGCCATGTTTAAACTGTCAGATAGCGGCCAGTTCAGCAATAAATACGTTTAAAAAAAAAAAAGAAGAAGAAGCCTAATCCACACCAGGGTAACAGGAAAAATCTTCAAGTGAAATATTCCAAAGCATTCAGAGATTCAGAAAAAACCCAAGTGTCATTGAACACACATCCCGTGAGTGAATGCTAAAGTTTTCCTTTTGGTATCCTAAAAGCGAAATGCCCGTTCATTCAAGGAGGTGTACAACCCTTCACAGTCCAATCATTCCTCAAGCTCCAGATGATTAGTCATCTCGTCTAGCTCATGAACTCATAAAAAAAAAGGGGGAGCAAAAACAAGGGCACATTCAGCCGGACACTTATCTCTCGGGACAACAGTCAAAAGGTCGCTCCGAAACACGAAACGACCCCAGTGCTGCGGCGCATTTTACTGCTCACTGTTTGCTTCTCTGTCCCGCTCCGGTGCTGTAAAAACCACGTCACAAATCCAGTCTGTAACTTCAAACCTCTGCACACATTTTTTCGCCGCCGCCTCGCCCTCGACTTTCATTTTTATTACCTGCCCGAAATCAGCGTCCGCTAACACCGACGGAACAAATCCTGTGAATCATTAACCGTCGACTCTGACCGACTTCAGCCTCGTCCTCCGAGACCCAGAGAGCTGGAGAGATAGATGGAGGGATGAATGATGCACGGGTGGACTCGGAGGGGGTTGAGGGTCGTCCAGGAGGGTTTTTCACTGGGAAAAGTCACATCAACGGTGGTTCCGTAAACACCACGCGGAAGAAAACCGTTTGGCTACATGAAGCTAGCCACAAGAAACGACCCCCAGCACCACGCTTTGTTGTTGGAAGACAATGCTTATTGACAAAGTGATAAAAAAAACTGTTAAACCTTTCTCTTACTGCGTGGCTGCTGGGTTCTGGAGGAGGGAAAGTCGGTGGGGTCGGCCTGGTCCTGCAGGTCTGAGGGACCACAGAAACACCGCAGAGGAGGCAGCTGGCACCACTAATATATGCCTAATTTTCTGTTTTTTCCCCCTAAGAGTTTGGGTTTATCACCTTAAAACCCCGAGAACGTGTCTCTCCTCGATATAACCAAATAAACAAACGAAAAATGAAAAACTTAAGAAGATGATTAATTAGTTTAAAGGTATTTCACAATAGAGTGTCATTTGGAGTTGGAGCGAATAGAAACGTAGGAGGAAGACAACAGCCAATGAGGAAGCTCCATTATGATGACGAAAACACGAATAGCCAATAGATTTATGCGACGTGCTCTTGTGTTTTCTGACAATTCCGGGTTGAACAGAATTCATTTAACAAAGGACAAGTCTCAAAGGAGACACTGTGCACATTCCTTTGAATTTTAACTATATCTTGAAATTATTTCTTCAAAAATGTTTATACATACATATCATAGTTGTGAGCATACATAGAAAATACCCATGAAGTGTCCAGAGTAACTAATGTTAACAATGAAGTCGTAAATCCCGTAATTTAATTTGGCTCCTTTTCATTGCTTTGTTTATCAGAATTACACATTGAATCTCCTTTATAATACTATTGTTACATGATCAGTGCTAGTGCAAAAAACATGAGGAAATACTGCCTCTAGCAGGCGAAAATATGCAATTTCACTGTTTATCAGCCGTAACAAAACTATTTGATAAAAAGTTGGAGTCTCCTCAGGTCTCCATTATTCTATAAATACATTAACCCCAAACTCAGGACCTCCAGGCCAGTTAGCTGGCAGGTTTCAATTCATCAACACCCCTGACTCATGAGTGCGACATTTGAAGGGCCCGTTTATTGCTTCACTTAAACCTGAAGAGTTTTGATTGATTGGGAAAATTCATCCAAAAATGTTCAATTAAAGATAAGAAGGGCAAATTGCCCTGTTGTGTGTATATGGAGACAAGACAAATTAATGAGTCAACTCTCCAATGGTTGAAAAAGAAAGAACCATGACGACTTTATCGCTTTCATTCCTTTATAAACAAAAGGTTAAATTGCCTTTCTCTGTGTACCCCGACTTGCAGGACTTTTTTTAATGTTAGAATTCTGAGGCAGGATCATAAATGTGTTATAAAACCAAGAGCGACCAGTGAGTTTATGCCCTTTTTTGTTTTCAATGCATGGAAACATAATACAAAAACATAATCACCATTTTGTTGTTTTATTGTTAAAATGATCCATTCCAGTGTTTGAGGACTGCAACAGTGACTATATGTAACAATCATCCATTTACTCACCCCCAGAGATAGAAGTAGACTCATTGTTTTTCTTTTCAAACTATTGTATCCTACAGCTGGAGTTACATTTGTGTGTCCAAACGTTCCCCTGTCTACTGAACAGGAGACTAATCAGGTCCAAATATTTTCTGCCAAATTTCCTCTTCTTTTTTTAAACAATGCCACAGAATATATTTGGTTTTTGATTCATGTCACTTTGACACACAGATATAAATCCATCTTTACACTCACAGACACTGACTCACTCGCTCTCATACACACAGAAATGCCGGGGCTAATGGAGCGCTTCGTCACAGGCGTGCGTCTGGTGTTTGGGGTCCGTCTACGTGCTGGAGTTGGGGCCCTGAGGGGTGTAGTCACGCTCCCACGAAAGCCAGAGCTGTGTCTCTTTCCTCGATCAGCTCAGCTGCTGTGGCCTCCATCTTTGATCGGGAGAAGTCGTTGATGGCCAAACCCTCGACTATCTTCCAGGTCTTGTCCTGAGGGGACAGAAACAGCTCCTTCAGGGTTCTTTTCCTTAATTTTTCAACCAAATTTGTCCTAAAAATGATAATATTCAATTTTTTTATTTAAAGTAGAATCTAAAAGTGACAAATATTGACCAACTGAGTTTTGATAGGACATTATTTTCCCATCGTCTATATGTAAAAAACAGCAGGGTACTTTTCCTCCTGTGTCACCAGGACTTAAAGCACAACAGGCTGCAGGAAGATTCAACAGACAGGTTTTACCTTAATCTGGACAGGGAATGAGTATATGAGGTCTTCCGGGACTCCATAAGAGTTTCCAGAGGAGTACACTCCCATAGATATGAACTCTCCCTAAAAGAAGAAACCAAAAAAAGAGAAAAAAAAAGGTTAATCTAAAATGCAAAGTTGTTTAAGCCAAATATGGAAATGCAGTATCGTAAATAGTAAAAATGACTTCACAAATTCTTCAACAAAAACTTTGTAGCGCCATTTGTTAGCAACAAACTTCTGAGGCCAGAAACTTTTAAATCTGAGCATTTAATAGAAATAAAAAATGTTTTGGTTGATAAGATTAATTTAGTTAATTACCTAAACAAAAAGTTCCAAAAGCTTTCAACCAAAATCAAGACCCCAAATATAGAGCTCACAGACTTGAAAGGCATCATGAATGAGCTCAACTGAATGTTTGGAAAGAATCCTCACATGACCCTTTGGCCAGATTGACCCCTCCCGGGTCGGCACACTGCATATAGCTGCTCGTGCAACAGCTGAGGAGTCCAACCGACTTCTTTAGTATCCCCTTACGCAGCTTTTAAACTGGTTGGGCTTCAAAAGGATCTGGAAGATTTGTCTTGCATAGAGAAGGACCCCCGTAACATGGAGGGCAGAAGTGACAACTATGTGCTGGTTTGTCTGCTTTCTTCATTATAAAAACAATCTCTTTATTTTCTAAAAGAAAAGTGTCATTTCAAGTGGCTGTTATGTCAATAATCTTCTAATTACCGCCGTCAGGATCGCAACAGAATTAGGGTGAAAGTTTTCCATACTGGAATCCAACCATACGTGAACCCGGGTTACCTCGGAGGTGCCTGACCAGATGTCTCTCATGTGGTCACACACGGCCTTCGCCGCAGACATGGCGCTGGACAGCTTCCTGGCCTTAATGACGGCTGCACCTCTCTGCTGCACCGTCTGCCAGAAAACCACCACATGAATAAACGTTTTTAAAAAGTAACAACTCTGGAGCAGAAAAATGGAGCCAGACTTCGTTTCTGTGCTGCTAAAAACAACTGAACAAATGTTAAAATCCGGAAAGAAGAATAATTTGAAATGCTAGGTTAATTAAAAAAAAAAGAAAAAAAAAGTTTGACTGGTTATTTGAATCAACTCTACTGATTTGTGTATTATAATTTGCTGACCATGGTGAGAGCTAATCTGTTTAAATCGAGCTAACAGTTAAAACCACCTGGAAGATTAAAGCGACCATCAACTCACAGATATGAAGTCTCCTTTGAGCCAAGCATCGTCTTTAACCGCCTCGAAGCAGGCCAGCTGGCTGCCAGACATGTTGACCACACAGTGGTGCACATCTGGGTACTGGGTGGAGGAGTGGTTGCCCCAGATGATGACATTCTTCACCTGGGTGGCAGGGACGCCACAGCGTATCGCCACCTGCAGGATAAAGGGAGAATTCCTGAGTCTGCAGGTCTGAGTCTGCAGGTGCTCAGAGCTGAAGGTGTGAAGGAGCATTTAAAAGGGGAAGGAGCCCTTAGAGGGGACGGACCTGAGAGCATGCCCTGTTGTGGTCCAGACGGGTGAGGCAGGAGAAGTTCTCTTTGGGGATGGAGGGAGCAGACTTGGCTGCGATCAGACAGTTGGTGTTGGCAGGATTTCCTACAACCAGCACCTGAAAACACACATCCAATCAGTGACCTGTTCCACTTTAAACCCATTAATACAACAGGTCAACAACTCACAAGTTAATGTTAATTTTCCAAGGATATGTTAAGAGTAAAAACTCTGAAATTAAACTAGCAAACACGTATAGCCTGTCAAGTAGCACAATGGTTTCCTTTGTCCACCCTAAAAAGTTCAAACGAGACAGCAAAGATGCTCTGAAAGCGTGCGTGTTCTTACTTTGACAGTCTTCTTTGCATACTTGTCCAGGGCGGTTCCCTGGCTCTTGAAGATGGCCACGTTGGCTTTCAGCAAGTCCTTCCTCTCCATCCCGTCCTTCCTGGGCATGGAGCCCACCAAAATGGCAGCATCCAGGTCCTTGAAGGCCACCTCCTCCTTGTCAGTGGGGACAACCTCTGTGAATGGACACAAAATTACAGGTGTGCTCATGTTTGGTGGTTAAGAAGCAACTGTATTGTGTTCAGTCTGTAATCAAAGCTTTAAATGGAAAAAAAATAAGATAATTTTAACAAGGTTGGGAACCTTTTGCTCAATCTCTAATCGAAGATCACACAGATGGTTAACTTTAGTGCAGTTATTGATGTGCATGTTCACAGTTAGACATCATGAGAAAAACTTCTCCCCCTAAAGAAAACAAAAGTGCATGCCTGAACTTTAGCTTGCGGTCATTTGGAGCGGGCCAGCTGTGTATTTAACCGCATCCGTCTCAGTGCACAAGGTACCGTCTTTGCCCCGCAATTGGACTTTACTGGGGCCTCTCACAGCCCCCATTCAAACAAAGCAAGGGACGGCATCAGTTCACGGGAAACATTCCAGGTCACAATGGAGATGGTACATAATGGCGCCTCACGACTGCCGTTATAGGAGGAGTTACAATGATGACCCCCAGTAGACCAGTAAAAGCAGGGGCCGTTTTCATCATTCATCATCAGTGCTTTCAGCATCCCTGAAACAGAACCGGTCCCGACGGTGTAAGGTGCCTGGATCTGTTTCAAAAAGGTATACAGCTACACTTCCAGCCAAAGAAACCATACCAAAAGGTACCCAGCCAGCCTTATCAACTCCAGTAACTCATGAAAGAAACATTTAAAGTTGGACTGTATGTGAATGATGAATAAAAACAACCCCCCGAACCCCTCCAGCTAAACCCACACAGACCTGTGACAATTAGTCATTTAGAGGAGCATAATGATAGAGTCATTAGTCATAAAGTAGTCTGTCAGTTGTTAATATCTGTGTTTTTTGACAGCAAATCACAGCCCAAATTGTCAATAGAACTTTGCAAAAACAGTAACAATTTCCCATAATTAAAACTACCATTATTCAAACAAACTTGTAGGGGAAAGAACCTCCACTTAGCTCTGATTCGAGCGCACTGGTATTACATCAGCTGTTTTGGCAAAGCCTTACAGGCTTACCTCTCAGAAGTGGGAGGGCACAGTCCTGCAGTTCCATGACAACGCCTTCCAGGACTGGCAACATGGGCGTAATGTCCAAAAGGAGCAAGACGATTGGCTGGTAGAAATAAACGGAGTCAGGTATGTTAATGGAGTTAATGTTAATCAGACACATTTGGATCAAATTTGTTATGTGTAAGGTAGTGCAGGCGGGAGACTTGGCTCTCTGTGGGGCGGTGTGTGAACGCATAAGCCTCGAGGCTGGCTGAACACAGCATGTGCCAAGTGGATCAAGTGGTTTTAAAGATGGACTAAGGCTCTTGGCACAAGATCTACTTCCATGACTTCAAGGACAATCCTGGCTCGTCCAAGGCCACGTAAATGAGCAAGTGCAATCTGATCAAGTCCCACGGGGGACAACATCTGTTCCCCCAGATATGGCATGGAAGATTCACAACTTGGGGCCGTCATGCTCCTCCATTTACTTTGTGACACTACTTGATACGATAAGGGAACGGAGAGCGTTACAGGAGTAAGACAAAGCCTTTCTTTACCTGATCTTTGCCGAAGACATCTCCCTTGGCAATGCTGAACAGCAGGGAATAGGCAATCTGCCCAGCAGCACCGGTCACCAGGACTCTAATTGGCTCAGACTGCGGATACAAGTCAAAGAAGACGCTTTTAGTACCATTAATATCGATTACACAAGAAGAAGTGGCCGTCGCAGTTAAACTATGCGACGCACGTGGAGTTGGACGTGTATTCTTGTCAATAGGATTAAATAGAGCAGGGGGTCAGGTCAAAAATAGACCCCATGCCCTCCATATTGAACTCAGTGTTACATAACAGAAGGAGGATATACTTATGTTATCAGTCTCATCGCCATCTTCAGCGCTCACCCAGCCCCTTAAATCATCAGGAAACGGATGGTGAGAGTTGTTAAAACATCTCATAATGAGCTCCATGACAGCTAAATGGGGCATAAACAAAAAGGTACTGGAATAGGTTACATCAAGCCACGATTTGGTAAATCTGGTTGGCACAGGGTTTAGCAAACCATTAAAAACTCTGCAACACGTCCTTAACTTTTTGTTCAATTGACAGATATACAAACAGCACACAAAGCATTACAGAAAAAATATCAATTGATTTACGCGTTTGCTGGTTGTACTCACCATGTTGTCACTTCAGCTTGAACTGTACTCCCCCACTTCTAGTTCAAGCCGCATGTCACACCTATTTAAGTCTTCAGTTCGCTACGACAGTCAGAACGATTCACGGCAGATCGAGCATAGAGGGAGTTGTAGTTTGAAGTCATTGGTGTAGTCCTTTCTGGAAAAAGAGCAAAGTGATCTGAGAAATTGTCATTATTCAATGTTACAGCCATATTTACGTTTAATAAAATAGCTTCTACGCGATATTGAGCCACACCAATGGAGCTGGATGTTCTTCTGACATCGCTTGTGAGCTAGCTCGTTAGCATTAGTGGTTAGCAAGAGAGGTTTGTGGTTGCTTAGCAACGGTGTAGTGGCAAAGAGAAGCAAGCTAGCAGCAACGAGGGTGTTTATAAACCTAGCCACTCCGCTAAACTAGACAGAAAACCCACATAGGTAATAATTTTCAGTGGGTAGGCATTTTGATATAAGCCATTTACGCGACTTTGATGGTATCATTATCGTAGGTTTAAATAAAAAGCTGGTCCCTAAGTTTGTGCACTGTTAGCTAACTAGTTGGACTAAACAGCGACCGATGACGTCCACATCGATTGTTCTTGAAAAGCAGATGTTAGCTTGATAAAGTAATAAAGAATAGCCAAGAGCACCAAACCTGTACATCTCTTGTCAATGAGCAAACTGAGGTAAGGTGGAGTCGCCTTTCTTTCCCATTTTCACCTTTATCCGTGTGTATATGTTAATAATTTAAGGCTAAAACTGTACAAACACAAGGTTGTATTTATAATAGTGCACTGAATTGTGACTATAGTAGTATTTTTCTTTCCACTGTCCTTTTTTAAGTGTGAATGAATGAACCTCATATTTAGTCCTACTGTAAGTGAACATGATTGTCAATCTGTCAAGAAACTGATTACAGGCTCATAATATGACCTGGACAAACAGCAGGTGAGAGGGGGGTGCTTTGGAACAAATATTTATTTATTTTTGTGTTGACTGTCTGGGGACAACAACAAGTCTTGCAGGGTTGTGTTATGCAAAGTGAAACATGTTAACCATCACTTCTCAAATGCAGAGGTATTTCAGTTTTTTCAATGACAGCATGCATCACCTTTCAGCTGGTGTTTTCCTGTCAGGTGGCTGGGATTTAAATAATTATCTGTGGTGTCCATAGGTGCAAAGCTTTCCATCAGGCATTTGTCTGAAACCCCCCTCCTCCACTAATGTGGGCTTCTGCCTAATGCGTTTTTCATTTCTTTTATACATAATTCCTACTTTCTAATAAAGTTTTTAAAAAATACTTTATAATAGAAGACTGCTAGGACAACATTTTGACCACCATCTAAAATGTCTTAATCGTCGGCTTGGCCTCACATAAGTTGTAAAATAAATTATAGGATTTGTTTAATATTTTACATGAAGTTATTTTTGGTATATCAACTGCTTCCTTCATTTAAATTTAATATCATAAATTATAAGTGATCTGTACTGATTCCCAAAAAATATGAAGACTGCATCTTTAATTTTTTTCTTATTAATAATTGGATGAAAAGTTATGGAAAAATAAGGAATTGTACGAATAATATAGTGTCGGGTCAGATCTGATCAAATTTCATTTTCTACTATTTAGTTTTCTGTCCTGCTGATTACACAAACTGAATGCGAGCCCATAACTGGTTTTGGTTTTTGTGTCTTCATCTGCCAGTGACAGGTGCTGACGTGGAAGTTTCTCTAAAAGGTTCTGCTTTTGATGGCCGTATTCAGAGCTGTTTGAAGCAGCTGCTGCAACCTGGCAGCTCTGGTTACATTTTGCCCCTCTGCGTGACACGTTCTTGTGTTTTTCATGGGTGTTGTTTTGAGACAAAAAGGTGTTCACAGCTCTCTGTGGCAAAGTGCTGCCATATTAATCTTCTATCTGTGTGTGTTTGTGCTGCAAATTATATTGTGCAGAACACAGTGTGACTAGTTACAGGTTGTTTTAATGAGGAGTTTAAATGAGTATCTGGATGAGTTCAGACTAAATTAATAAAAGGGCAATATAAGATAGTGTTGTGTTGTTCAACCACGAATAGTGCTAAGAAGTTTAAGACTAAACTTATTGAAAAGTCTGTCAGATATGATAGAGGAACATTCACAGTGCATAGTAGCCTTAAAGTTTTCCTTTTGTTCAAATTAATTTATTAAATCAATCTTTTCCTCCTTTGCCCACCTTAAGTATCAATCAATCTTATTTCTCTGATGAATGAAACTCTCAGAAAGGACTGGGGTTTTATTTATAGCTTTAATATCTGGAGACATGTTTGGGGTTGATTAAAATCTTTGTTTTCAGCATGATTCTGTGTAGTTAGACCTCTTTTCATATTTTGTAATCTTAACACACAGGAATCACACTTGAGTTCAATATTGTTACTTAACGGACACAAAAGGCTTATTTATGCTATACTGACACGATTCTGTAGGTTATATTTACATTTTTCTTATAAGTTCCAAAAAATCTATTTTCTTATGTGACGAAAAGGAGTATTTTCAGAAATATTATATGTGAAAACATCCACACATTGTTCTTAGAAAGCAGAAAACCACATCCATTCAATATCATGTAGTGTGTCAAATTATTATTTTTAGAAAGCCTCCGCTCTCACCGTTTAGGATTTCCACAAATTTTTCAGCTGTCTTTTCTTTCTTTCTTTCCTCTGCAGCAGCCACAAAAAAGCGCGGCCAACAAAATCACCTGTCGTCCGTTTTTTTGTTGTTTCTTTTTTTTTTTTGCCAAAAACGACAGCGCGTGACAGCCGTGACTGCGCACATTTGAAAAGAGTCTGTTGTTGCGGCGGCCGTTGTTGAGCAAGTCAGACATCAGTGTTTATTTTCATCTGTGGTAGCCTTCACAGTCAGGCTGACATGGGGGGATTAGGAGCACTTTGTCTCTGCAAAAAGGAAATCAGAATGAAACCAGAAGCAGCAGCGGGACATACGATAATATCTGGTGCCAGTTTGCATGCTGGCCTGATCCTCTGTGTGTGCTGTGAAAACAATCAGCATTGTGGGCGTTTTGTCCCCCCCCCCCCCCCCCCACCCCCAATCACCCCCAATAGCCCAAACATGGAACACAGGAGCTGAGGGAGTAGGCAAAGTTCACACATGGCCAAATCCTTAGCAGGATGCGTGTGCACATGTGCACGACTCTGCGGAGGTGGAACGTGCCGAAGCCCAGTGCTGCGCAGATTTTGCACATACATGTGCACACACACACAAACACACACACACACACACACACACACACACACATGCACACACACATGCACACACACACACACAGGCGGTGTTCTCGCTCCTGGTGGGAAAAAGTGTGCTCTGGGTCCTCTCCATGTCCTCCTCCTTTCTGTTCCCTCATCACTTCTCCACCCTTTCTGTTCTCTCCTGCTTTATCTCCCTCTCTGCCCTTTTCTTTACCACTTGTCCCCGTAGAGTGCACCTGAGTGACCGTGAGCGACAGATAGCCAGCACACCCACTGGCCTCGGTATCACCCTCTTATCTGCCCCGCTAGACCAAATAGCCCTCATGGAGTAGCAGCAGACAGTGAGATAGCAGGAGGTTGCATTCACACAGAAACAGACATAAACAACACAAATGCAGCAAAAGATAATGACATCATCGTGTTAGGCGCCTCCGCCGTATTCATCAGGAGACATATCCCCACCCCAGATCAGCTGATGAAGCTTTAGATTAAATGACACAAGTGATTTTCATTCTTTGATTTCTAATCCTGCTCTAATGCAGACGACTGCTGTTTAAAATAAACCCACTTGGCCCCGTCCTTTCCCCGCTCTGTTTTGTAGTGACGGTCCTAAAGCAGCAGGTGTCAGTGTTCGACTGTTAGCTGTCAGCCGCTGGCGTCCATGTTTAGCCTCCATTAGGGCGGAGGTGTGGATGGATCTGTATTGGAGATGCTTCAGAGGCACTTGTTGCCACAGCAGAGTGTTTGCCTTTCAGAACTGGGATTATGACCGGACAGCTGTCAGTTCAAAGCCTGGTTCTGACATTTGATAGTTATTTTAAAATAAATTATTTTAATAGCTTTTTTTTGGCTCTTTTAAATAACATGCAATTCGCAGAACAAGCAATACCAATAGAGCTCTCCCAACGATTAGTACAACCATTTTCTCTTAAAGCCTTAAATCTGTTTTCCTTTGACAAGCCAAACTCCTCAAGTACTTAACGAAATTTTTCAAAGTTTAGATAATAAAAGTTTGTTGGGAAAAGAAGGATTCTGAAGCATTGTTTTGTATTTAAAAGAGATTTCCTTTAGGATTAACAAGGCAAAGGAGAGAAACTCAAAAATAGATAATTAGAAACTTTAACTCTTCACCAAGCAGCTCCTTTCTAAATAAAACCTTTTTTTTTTTTAGTTAAGATAATGTGAATTGGTTGCGTCCAAATCGTCTCCGGATCCATTTCGTCATAATTGTGTGTCGCCTGGAGCACGTGGCCCAGAGGCATGCAAATGCTGTCGGGCCGTCTTATGCAGCTACTCACAGTCTCTCTGCGATTGAAACCGGAGAAGGCCTTTGTTTCCAGCCAAGTGCTGGCATGCTCTGGAAAAAAAAGAATCTAACCAAGCCCTCAATCAGAGGGAACACAGACATCTGCAAACACTAACTAACTTGTTGGCACCGATGCAGAACTATTCAATTAAATCTCACATAATTCACACTGAGTCACCCTCGATTGTATCTCCTCCTCGCAGTACGCCTGGTATGCCGCCCCAGTATTCCCCCTCAGGTGTTTGCATAGCGAAATGGTCCGTAAAATGGGTTTGTTGGAATCAAACTCCATACGGAGACGAATACATATTTCATAGCAGTTGATGGACGGATTGATCGGGCTGCGTCTTGGTTTCCTCTTTGCTTCACCGCCATGGAAGATCTTTATCAGGATGAGTAATGTGATGCTTCATGGCGTGGCTACAGGGAGGAGAGCTGTAGTTCGAGTGCCACGTTGGGATTTTGACTGATTCTTGATGGATCTGATCTGTGTGGTGAGGTGTGCTCCGTACCCCCGATGGCAGCTTTTCTAACCACCAGGTGGCGCCAGACTGTCACTCTGCCGTGGGCAGGACCGACCGAAGGGTGACCGGAGAGGCGGCCACCCTCCAGCTGATATGGCAGCACGCTTGCATTGGAGCGTTAGGAATGTGGCTCCTGTTTTTATCGGAGCAAACGTGGTGTCAGCACGACAGGCCGACAAACTCCCACCAGAACCCACCTTTCATTAACTCCCCAATCCAGATCCATCCAGCTGAATCAGTGATGGCAACCGGCTGCTGGCGGTCGCACCCCTCTGCACAGCCATAATGGGCCGTGGCACAACCGGGGGGGGGGGGGGGGGGGGGGGGGGTCTGTCCGAGAGGACGGCTGTCTGCAGGTTAGCAGCCGCGCCGCTTCTCCCCGTTTGCCTGAAAGGAGCGAATGTTTTCCCTCACAACACGGCAGTGTGGGGATTAAGGTCCACTCCGAGCGGCCCCGGGTCAGGCGGCAGATGTTAGCCAGGATAGTGGTTGTTGCCGTGCCGACGGTGAGCTGTGGTGGGAATGGGCCGACCAGACAATGTTAAGCCTGTATGCATGCATGGGAGCGAAGGGGAAACGGCTCTGTCACACTTTACAGACTACGGTTGGTGGGAAATTAGTCTCATAGCTGAAAATCTGCTCTGGTTTGATGTCTGTTTTCGGATCGGGCTCCAGTATCGTCCAAACTAACTTTTCTGCCCCGGTTCTTGCCCTCCCAGAGGCTGGATGTGGTTCTTTTTTCTCTTCTTTAACGGCTCATCTTGATAAGTGCCTGATAGGAAAAACAGTGGGGCTCAGGACGGTTTTGGGCAAATTAAACCCGGAGCTGCTCCTGTTAGATCAGATTCGAAAACACAGCGAACTTCATTTGAATTGCAGACGGGGGCGTGAGGCTATACAGTCGTCTGATGTGACACATGAGCCCCTTCTCTTTATGCCAGAAAGATAGTACTGCAGGGTAAATGTGTTTAACATGGGGCCCGTGCTGGCCCCTGTGGTACTCATAACAGTCAGACTGAATGGAAAGAGGATACTGGGCCCTGACAAGACATGACTTGAGCCAGCGTATATGCAGAGCTCTCCTATTGTCCCGAACACTGAGCAGAAATCAGTGTTGGTGGTGATGTGATGTGTGTGTCTGTCTGTGTGTGTGGGAGACTTCTCCGGGGCAAACAGTGTGTCCATTCAGTCCCATAAAGGCTGTACTCTCAGAGGACGAGGGCTGGACAGGGCAGGGCTGTTTTCACGCATGGATGGATGTTTGGACGGTCTGACGGCTGGAGAACAGCCAGATGTGTGTTTGTTTGCTGTCCTGCGTGTTTTGTTTTTTTTTAACGCACCCCCACGATATCATTAGAAACCTCAGCAGCAGCTTTCGCTCCTGCAGGTGACAAGAAGGACTTTCCCCAAATTTTTCGAAAAGCATAAGAAACTGTTTCTGTACAAAGGCCAGTGGGTTAATCAGAAGTCTGTATTCAGGCTTATCAGGTACGAAGGACATCAAACACCAACATCATTTCTCATTGAGCACTCTCCATCTTGTGAGAGGATCAAATGAATCCTGATGCCAAAAGGTTCTTGGACCAAACCCCTACTTCTGATACCCTTTATCCACTTCTCAGGGATTGGAGCCCCTCCATCGTCAAATTGGGCCTCCGCTGTTATCTCCATTGCACACCTGTACAGTTTCATTACTGTATTTTACACGTTTGTAATGATGAATTGATGAAATCTTCCCACAAATCTCCACACGATAGAAACGTGGAAGTTCTTTGATTTGAACGTGCTGTGCGGTGTGGATCCAAAGGAGAGAAGGGCTGAACAGCAATGCTGTTACATTAAATTTAACTGCAATAGAAACACTGATGCAAAGAGATAGAATAAAAAATGCAAATAGAAAGACTGTGCAGTACTGAGGATTTCACTGAGGCATTTGTAATGTCGTAAACAATGTCCTTATTAATGAACAAATTGTGCGTTTTCGTACAGTAACACATTAAAATACATCTGAATCCATCTTTTATCTTTGTGTATTTAAGTCCATAGTAGATTCATACTTTTACCAGACCATGGAAAAAAATAGGATAAACCCTCCCTGATGTTCTTGCTGGGTTTTCCTCAGGGCTCATCTTTTGTTTAGTGATCTACAGGCAAGAACACTACAGTTTTGTGAGTTGTTCTCAGTTTTGTCAGTCTTGAACTTATCTTGATTCGATTTCTTTTTCCAGACAATTTCAATACTTTGGAAAGCTCATTCAGCTGCTCCCAACAGATTTGACCATAAGGGGAAATGTTGCCATAGTTATACATCATAACAGATGTTAAAAATGGCCGAAGTTACCAGAAAAGGTCATTCTAGCAGCACAGCCTTCAAACCAACCAATAATTCAGATAGCAGTTTTCGACAAGAAATCCCCAAAAGATGCAAATAAAATTTGTCCAGGGTTTCGTTCTTTTTTTTATGAATGAATGAGTCAAACTCATCCCCAAACCCGTGACCTTTCTTGTTGCTCGTCTATAGTGTTTGCCACCGTGCAAAGATATGTACGGAGGAACTTCAGCAAGTTTGACCCGTTTTTATACCCGAAGATTTAACCGGTCAAGTCTGACGGACAGCTGCCAGGTAAAGAGAATAAAAGTAGAGAGTAGAGAGATGCCAGAAGGGATTTTCTTTCCCCTTCTGGACAGGAGGGCAGGGCAGAGGAACAGTTGAGCAGATATGACACCGGCGTCCATATCTGAGGTCACAAACCTCCGGGCCCGGGCGCCATCGACCTGCGACCCCTCGGTGCCACAACAACCTGTCATAGAGACGGATCGGTGGGGGGGGGGGCTCTGCCCACAGACTGGTGTCCGAGGTGTTGACAGACGGCGTGTGTGACGGGCGAATAAGGCCGCTGAGAGCTGTAGGGTACGTTCCCGGTGACCTTTCGTTTTTTCCAGGGTCCAAATCACTCTGTCCATCTGACAACAGCCCAAACAGACCTCATCGTCCAGAGTCCCAGACAGGTCTGACTGCCTGTGCCTGGACGTGTGTCCCAGGAAAGCTTACGGGCGCCACATGGGAGCTGAGAGTAAATTAAACATTTATCGCCCAAAATTTCTCAGCTGTATATAGATTTGCTTTTTTTTTGGTCCAAAATACAGTATTTAGTGCCATCATATGCAGAGAGACAGGCATTTGTTATTTTATATTTTATTTAATATGATATCTATTCTATATTTATCTAGCATATTATTTAGATTTTATATGGCATTTAACAGATGAGCAGTTTCAAAGAGGAAGAACTCTTCATTCAGATCCAAAAGAAATCTGGACGTTTAGTCACCGCCTGGCCCGACACACAACTCCAAAATAAAGGATAATGTGTTATCTGCATTTGTGTATCCACAACTATTAGTTCAAAGGTTTGCTGTGTTTTGTTCACAACTGACTTCCACTAACGGCTCAGACATTTGTTTTAAGTGGCAACAGATGGGTTTCCTGCGGAGGATCACAGGGCAGAAAACACACTTTTTAGGGCTTTTATAAAAGCAGTTTTAATTAGTCCAGCAAGTATAAAGAGTGTAAGATTGTACTTTAACAACACAGATGAAAAAAATTGAAGAAATTGAGCTCATTCGTACTTTAACAGATTATGCAGAAAAGGTGGAGTGGAGGATTTTCCATGAAAGCAGTCCTATATAAACAAAAAGAGTCATTCTGAGTGTGTGCGTTAATTATTTATGCCAGTTTTGTGGTCGTTTGCTAAAGAGAAAACAATTTGGTCCGAAACAAAATAAACAAAGCGGCAGTCTGGGGATGGGGGGGGGGCACGATTCTCCCCGTGTGTCTCAGGAAAGCGACACCGACGGGCCGCAGAGGCCGAGAAGCTGCTTGAAGTCAGTCGATAATTGTGCTGTTGGTTTGAAGGTATCCCCTTTCCTGGCCTGGGGCCGCGCTTCAGGGCAGATTCCCTGCTTTTAGAGAGACACTTGCCCAGATTAGGCCTATTAGCTTAACAGGAGTGAAAGGAAATTATTGCAGGCTGAGTGGAGTCCTCTCTGCACGGAGGCGTATTGGATTGTTGAGATGCTTTGCCGCTCTTTGATCTGGAGTTTCTTTTCCAGCTATTTTCCTGCCTAATCAGGACCCGATTGCACATTTTCCACCAATCGTCTTTTCTTTTTTCCCTCTCCTGCTGTCATTACATTTCTAGATCTGTGTTTGTGTTTCTGCTCCAGGCGTTGGGTAAATACCTCCGCTGGAGTACCCCCCCCCCCCCCCCACTCTTCCCACCTTCCTCCCTCCATTACCTCCTCTAATGACGTTTACACATCTGCTTAGGAGAGCCTCCACTCATCTTTCCGTCTCCCCGCGTCTTTCTCTTTCTGAGTGTCCTGCAAATGCACACAGATGCGCAGGGACACTCAGAGGTTGTTCGACAGGTTAAGGATTACTCTCTCTGCTGTTAGTCGGCTGACTTGATAGCCCTCTGATTTCAGTTTGTCACGGCTGGCATTTTTTAGATGTTCGACATATTTGGCTGCCTCTGATCTCCACACGCAGCCGCCCACTTTTTTGGCCTTGATTTTAAACAACATTCAGTTAGGTTTCTGTTCGTTTGGCTTTATATTGACATTATCCCTGAGTTCGTCATTGTATCTGGGGGGTTTTCTTTTGCTATATATAGTTTATAGATAGTTTTGCTTGAACTTTATAAACAGCTGTTTTTAAACAGAGCAGTCAGTAACTAAAAACTAAAACTGTCCCACTAACAGCATTTAAAAGAAAATATAGAAATGAATTAAGACATTCACACAGATGTAATTAAGCCAGAAATGTTAAAAACAAATTATCTGGTAAATATGAATAAAATCTCTTAAAAATCTTTTTTATCCCGAGTTGAAACTCTTTGATGTTATCGGGTTGTGCCTCTGGTTCATATTTGCCCATCAAAAGTTTATTGAAGCAGAGAGATTGTGCTTACAATTCGGAGACATAGTTGTGTGTGTTTGTGTCATTTTCTCCCCTGACAATGAGAGAAATAAATGTGCTTTTCTCCACATGTTTCTGCTGAGGACTGGTTGGAGGTTAATTTGAATGGTTTCCCGGTTTGCTGGCCTCGCTCGTTTTCTCTGCTGAACTTTTCAACTCCTCACCTCTGCGTGCCCTCCCGACCTAAACTGGTGTTTCCACTGGTTTCATGGTTCCCTCTGCACACTCTGTTGCACGCCCATACTCCGACATGCACATTCTCACTTGACACAGAGGTTGCCCAGCAGCCATGTCACTCCGGGTTCATCCCCCGTTGATTGACGCGCTCTGCTCGGCACGCAGACACACACTCGTACGCACCAGGACTCTACCTGCCGAGTGTCGAGAACAGTGTTACCTTTGCCTCATTTTGTTCTGCCTGTCCATCAGCCCCCCCCCCCTCTTCCGCCCAAGACTCTCCGGGCTCCCGTGGGACTTTAAATAAAAGGTTTTCGGCCTGCTGCCTGGCGCCACTTTGCCCTCCCTCCATTCTCCTCCCTCAAACACTCTTTCTTATAATGGGATAGTTGAGGAGATGCACTGTACTTGCTCTTGGATTGTGTGTGTGTGGGATTGTGTGTTTGTTATTGTGTGTGTGTGTGCCGGGGGCCTTTCGCTGACTGGTGTCCACAGCGGGTCGGGGTCTGTGACGCCTCAGGTCCTCAGAAAAAACATCTGAGACGGAGCAGCTTGAAGAGAGACAGACAATAGGAACAAAAAGACGAGGAACAACCCGACAGACCTGGGCCGAAACTCTGAGACCTCCTTAGTGACACCTGGAGGCTGCAGTGTTCATTACACCCTACAACAGGGACAGGAGACCCGGATTTAAGGATCACACCAGCAACCTTCGGGACAGGATGATGACCTCCAGCCTTTATTGCAAAGTTTCTGTGTGACTAAGATCTCCGTCCACAACTTTCCTATCATTCAGAGACTTTTGTGGTTTGATGCCATGATTCCTCCTCATGAACAGTTGGCACCAGCAGGCTCTGTGTCTTTCAACACAAGCAGAAATATCTCCCTAAAATATTTAAATTAGTATCATTATCCTCCCCAATGTTGGCCATTTAACAGACGTATAGTTCTAGGTTTTTCTCAGTAACTCAGCTACATTGCAGAGCACTTCAGATGTTCCTATATTTCTTACAATTAAACAAAATTAGACCATTTCTTTCCCTACAATATTCTGCTCCCTGAGAGTGTGCTGAGAGGAATGGACATAACTACTCAGAGAATGGCATCATTAAAAAGGAAATCCAACTCAGAATCTATTTTCCTTTGTGCTTACTTTGCACAGTCTGCTCTCCGTCTGAGTCTCTATCATTCTCCTCCGACTCCTGTGTAGTCTTTGGATTATTTGTTTTGTCTGTGGCGTGATGTTGACCACTTTTCCCTCCTCTGATATCCCCGTGTAAACTCAGGAGCCTGTCCCGCAGGGATTTACTAAAGATTAGAAGGTTGTTTGAGTTTGTGTGTTCGGCTCCAAATGTATGTAAATGTGTTCATTTCCCCAGGTGTCAAACGGTGGGAGAGGATGGCGTGGAGCATATTAGATTTTCCGTGCATGTGTTTGTGCTGCATAAGATGGTGTGAGAGACTGGAGTCGGAAAACCATTTATTAAAAAAAAGCATTTAGTAGTTAAAAGTGTAGAACATCAGCAGGCCTGTGCAGAGCTTCACAGTCTTTAGAGGAGATCCGTTTGGTCTGAATCAGGTGTGTAGAAGCAGGGAAACATCTCAAACCTGCAGGTGAGCGGCCCTCCAGGCCCTGAGTTACCCAACCCCGGCTAATATACTTATATCTTCCTTAGTTAATTAAAAAGGGTCTCTTCAAACTGACTTTTCGTGTGTCCTTTTACACCTATATGAAAGCAACGTGTATATGCAAACAGATAAGGTAACATACAAAGAAGCTTTCTGTTGGCTTTGGTAACCGCCCACTCAGAAAAACTAAGGGGAAAACGTATACATTTTATCCCCTCTTTTACCCCGAGGAAAAACAGCCTCCAATGTTTACTGAAGGCGATGTACTGGACGCTTTATCCCACCGACTCGGCTGCACACACACTTACAGGGAGGTTCTCAGCCTGGTATTCAGCCAGAGGGGACGCAGGAAGAGCTGCGCAGAGCAGAGAGGTCGCAGCTCCGGTGGACTGTCTTTGAAAGCCGAGTCGTATGTTTTCCCTGGTCGTCCTTTGAAGTTAAAGCAGACTCTTTACCAGTGTCAAGACAGGATACAATAACCTCAACCCCCCAGCCCCTGACTGTACACACCCACAAAGCTCTGCGGGGGGGGGGACAGGTAACCCACAGCAACCCCAACCAGAAATCAGAATGAGGGTGGCAGCTGTCCAGGATCTGAGCAGCCCGCTGAGCAGGGTGTGTGCGTTTGTTTGTGCGAGAGTGTGTGCACCGAATGTGCACAGGAGTGCACAGGCTATGCATAACGCACAGTTACTCGTCGGCAATTCAAACCCACATCAGTTCTCATCCGAATAGGCCTATTTTAAATGTACTGTAAACCAAAGTCAGCGAACTGGGCAACAGTGGGAAGAAGCTGCTGGGACTCCCTGTTTCCTCCTGTGAGGTTACATTGTTCGGTTCATTTTCGGTTATGTTCAATTTATTCAGCACGCTTATTCAGTTCACAGACATTCGTTTCTGAGTGCCCAACCCTGACGTGACCCTGCACTTTTAGTTTAAAACCACGACTGTTAATCCGACTGAAGAAGAAAATGTTACAAATCTAAAGCGGGATGAGACGTGCAAAAGCACAAAGGACCATCACAGGGTCCCATCCCTCACATTAAGGATTTCATCAAAGATGGAGTTTCATTTTCTGATTATTACATCAGAATAACACGACCTTTTAGTAAAACCAAAAGATATAATCATCTGGTCCAAAGTGGGATTACAAACGTTGTGTTAGAGTGTGTTACATAAATTACACTGAAAAAATAGAAGGCAAATCCACGTGGATAAATCAATACTTCCACAGTCCTACGGAGGATGAATATCTGATAACAGGTACCTTAAAAAAAGACAACTACAAGGCCTCCACCCTCTTCAGAACCCATTTGAATAAAAAGAATAAACATACTCGACTTCGGTTTTCTTAGATATCTACTCAGAACAAGCTCAGCAGAACTTTTAGACCAGCCATGCTGGAAATAACTAAATAAAAACTGACCAAAAGGGCTAAGTTGCTGTTAACGGGGCTGGTTATGAGCGGGAGAAAGGATCGTCTTATGTCAGTAAACTGGTTACGCCACCTCTGGCGTGCCATGCCAGCCCAGCGTTTCCATGGCATCCACTCTTATCTGTCGGCATTTTTTTGTTGCGACTGGCGATTTTGGGGGTCGAGTGCCAAAATTAGATTTTTTTTCTTCCCCCTCTCCCCCAAGAGGTGCAAGAGCTAAAGATAAGAGAGAGTCCCCTCTCAGCAGTAACAGATAGAAAAACAAGAAAAGAGAAGATTGAGTAACTGTGATGGGAAGCCATACCAAAGGAATACAACAGCTGGGTGTTTTGGTTCAGATAGTTTTTGGTGCCACAGCGTGAACTTTTTTAAAGTGTTCTATTTCTTTAGGTTTTATTAGAGGCATTACTGTACCAGTGCTACCAGAACCCAGAGGGCAGCTGGGAGAGCGAAATCCTGCCGGAGGTAAACTGACAGCAGACTGAAGGCTCTAATAAAGATGCAGGGATATAAGCAGTCATTAACCTAGTCATCCCCAAAGTTTTTTATTTAAAAGCCCCCTCTTTTATCATGATAATCCATTTCAAGCACACCCCCCAATTACATCACTTGTACCATTACTCTACAACTGCAAACTGTGAGCTCTTACTGGAAAAAATTGCAGCTTTACAAAGATTTTTTTCCCCAAAATGCACCCTTTCTTTGAACCAGATAACCTAAAATTCAACCATTTTAAGAAGTATTTGCATTAACTTTGTGGTCGCCAAAGTTTTTCTCAAAAGCCCCCTCTTTTATCATGAGAATCCATTTCAATCCCCCCCATTACATCACTAGTACCGTGATGTAAACTGTGAGCTCTTACTAAAAAAAAAGTGCAACTTTAGAAGATTTCTTTCCCCAAAAAATGCACCCTTTGTTTGAACCAGATAACCTAAACCTCGACCATATTAAGAGGTGTTTGCGCCCCCCCCCCCCCCCCCCCCCACATCGCGCCCCCACTTTGGTAATGGCTGCATTAGCTGACGTGAGGAATGCTGCTGGCTTTGTGTGTCTCTGGCTCAGACCGTGTCCATCTCTGCTGCTGTGAGGTGTGAAGGGCGGCACAAGTGTTGCCGGCCGTGACCTTGTTCTGTCTGGCCGTTACCGTCTCTCCGCCTTACCTCTGGTACAGGTGCTGGAGTATTAAGTTGCAGTGCGTTTGACATATTTACTTTAAATCATACCCTTGACTGATATTGTTAAGAATGCCATTACTCTCACTCACGGTCGGCTGCCATCGGTCATCCCAGTGAAGTCATAAAAACAAGAGAGGCCGAATCCCTGACCCCATGGACCATAAACAGACGTGTTCTCTCCTACTGGTCCAGGAGTTTTCACAAAGTTTCATCCAATGTCAGCCTTTGCATGCCTGCAAAAAAGATTTGTGCTAATTTATTTGTAATGTTCACAGACGCTAATATTATCTTGAATTGTCAGAAGTTTCCACTTATTCTGTGTTAATTTAGTCGGGGGGCAAATTAATTACTAGGATTTAACACGGTCACTTATCTTGTTCCTGCTGTTTTTTAACTGCTGTTTGTCGTTAGTTTTGTTCACTTTAATGCTTTCTCTGTTGTTTTATGGTTATGTCCTTTTCTTATGTATTTCCTGTGGTTGCTATTTACTGTTATGAATGACCACATGTACCGTTTTACCACAAGGTCAAGTGCTCAGTCCGTGATTAGGACAATAAATAAAGCTTGTTTTATTCAGATATCTGTTTTCAGATGGTCCCTGCTAGACTAAAGTGCCTTTTTGGTTCTTTGGTGATATAGTTTTAATGCTTGTGACGCGGCTTCATGCCCGCCTGACCGGGCAGTCCTAAAAGGACCAGCAGTTTGTCGTCTCACCCAGATATTCATCTGTGCTCGTGTTTGGTCTGCTCTGCCTTTCACTCCATCTTTCACTCCTCTCTTGTCCCTCCCTGCAGACTCGGGTTTCACTCCTCTGTCGATGGCGTTCTGCCTGGCTGAGCTGCACTTGTGGTCCACCAAGAGCTCGCTCCAAGTTAAAGGTAGCCCTTATCACCATGTTCAATCTCCCACCCCTCTCATGGAGTCTCTCCTTTTCCCCCTCAGTCCGTCTTGTTCAGGCTCTTTCTGTCAACACTCACTTTGTTTTCTCACCTCCTCCCCGCACGTATCTGCCTCACCAATCGGACTCTTTGGCAACATCAGTTCACACCTTTTCTGTTTTCACTTTCTCATTTGTTCGATCCATTTGACTTGACTTCGTTTTGACATTTCCAGCTGTATTTGTACATTTTTACACGAGCAGCTAAAGAAATTGAAAAAACAATTACATGAATGGGGCCCAAAAAAACTTTTGACGCTACTGTTCGATAGGTCAAACGTTTTTTTTCTTTCTAAAACTATGAAATGTAAAAGTAAACTCTAAACATTTGAAAAGCGTCTTGGGATAATGGGCCACTACTTTTTGTCTGGAGGGGAAAATTACTTGTATTTAACAAACTGTATTCCTTTACTGATCCCTTTCAGTCTGCAGTCTCTGTGTGCCCAAACGTCTTTATGAAAAATGTAATATTAACCCCGCTGTGTACTCACTTTGCTCCAAGCTTGCTCATTCAATCTGCCAGAGAGCTCCCATTTCCCATAATTGTTAAGGAAAGAAATGGTTTAACTCTTTGTATGAAGGTTAGCACAGCACAATAAATGGAAAATAAGGCAAATGACAGATGTTATAATGTAACTCCTTTGCTGCCATGTTATTAGTATTATGTATCATTTGTTATTGGTTATAAATCTAGTTTGAGAATATAGTGAGTTTTCAGGATTTACAGCCAGAACCTCATTATAGCTCAAATGTCATTTTACAATCTTACCTATAAGTAAAATATGCTTAATTAGTTTGGATGGGAAATGGCTCCAGAGAGTGAAATTCAGCTCTGATTCAGCTCTGATTCAGAGAATGTTTCTGACCTTTGGATCTTCTGCACCATGGAAACCGGGCATGCCTCTGCCATCTCGCTGCCTCCGCATCCTTTATAGACGATGCTCTGTGCTTCTTTTGTGAGCCGTCCCAACATTTCCCCATCCTTTTTTTATCTCCCTGTGATTCTGACGCAGGTCTATTTTGGTTTCATCTGTCCGACTGTATTTCTGGAACTGTTAACGTGCTCTCTGCGTTTGCCCTTGTGAAATCTTTTCTCTCTGCTTTTGTTGTTATGTTGGAGGGTTTGCTTGACTAGGTTTTTGTTTGGGACCCATGGAGCCACTGTAGATGTCCAGCTGTTGATTTTGTCACTTCTAACTAAAGCTACCTCTCTTCTCTCAAATCTGTTGCCTAATAGTACAATTTTTTTTTGTGCATTATTTGGTATTTGACCTCAAATTGAAAGTAATCAACCTTAATCTACTAAACTGATAAAACACTTTTTTAGGTAGCAATTCAACCTCTTCATGAAAGAGTTTTTAGTCCATTATCAGACTATATCTGAGTCTTTGTTCGGTTTGGATGTAAAACTCATAAATGTAAAGCAAAGCTTTTGAACGTTGATCTAATTATAACTGTAAAAATAGTCATTCTAACTTGCAGTAAGTCAACCTTTGATCATCTTTCTGGGAAAGTGGTTGGAGGTAAAAAATGAATGAGAGTGAAACTGAATGCATCCGTTCTTCTCTAGACCTGTCATCCTCCCACTGTTAGAAAACTTGCAGCCGCTGCTTCCCCGTCAGTCAGAAAGTGTTTCAGTTTGGCTTTTTTTTGTGGGTTTCTCAGTGGTACCCTGCTCGCCACCTATCAGTCCATCTCTCTTCCTCCATTTTCTTGTTTCCTCGTCTCTTCCATACTGTCGTGTCTTTCACAGTCTGCTGAGTTCTCAAAGCAGATAGTGTCTCTCAGAGGCGGTCTGTGCATAAACATTTGTGCGTGGAGTGTCATGTGTATACAGGAAGGTACGAGAAGGCGCATATCCAAGGTGATGGTGACATATCCTTATTTGTTTGTTTCTTTTCCTGTCGTCTGTTTTGTCTGATATCACAGAAGAATGTGGGTGGAAACATTGAGGGAAAAGACCTGGTCACTGAGGTGTGACGCGGCCTATCATCACCATCTTCACATTACACATCTGCTCAAGACAAAAATATAGATTGGAAAAAAAGCTTTCTCTATACTATAATACCCTGAGGTGTGAGAGTTTGACTTGTGTGAATCATGTTGGCGTGGAAGGACTCCCGCAGCGTTCAGTTACCACCAAAGAGATCCAATGTGGATACTGAACCAACATGGTGGTGCACAGCCTGTATTTCCTCCTTCTCTTTGCATCAGGACAAATCGAGTTCAGATAATTCAGCGTTTGCCCGGAATTTGGAGTAAAGCCTGTAAATCATGTGTAGGATTTCTGAAAATCTTTCATTTGTATAAATATCTTATGAAACCACATTTAAGTTAACAAATCCCAAAAGATGCAAGCCACTGTTTTTTATAGTCTAATAGTGTCCAATAAATAATGTTTTTTTTCTGACAAAATTTTAAAAGATAAAAGCTCTTGGTGTAAAACTCTTCGCGTACAACCAGAAAACTGATTTTCACTTAGTTTTGCTATAAACCCGACTCTGAGGCCCTGTCTCTCCCAGGAACAGCTGGACTAGACCGAGGTAGAATACAGAATACAGAGAAAAGAGGGATAAATGAATGAGACCACTTTTAAATATGGCTAAATATTTATCTCTTTCCAGAAATGTGATACATTTAAACATCAGCTAAATCAGATTTCTGGCCCAAGGTCCAATGATCCCATCCAGTTGTTAACTCTGAGGGCAGCCATCTTGGGGCATGTCTGAAAATGACCGAGATGTAGATAAATACTTTCTAAAGAGAGAACCGGGATGGTTGTAAATGGTTCTCTCCTCCATTCTGTTTACAGCTCTAAAATATCCAACACAGAATTGAACACAGAAATGTACCAAACCCGAAAGACATATTCAATAAATATATGACTTTTTAAAGACAGGTCTGACTATTCTGTCTTTCCAGACTCCAATGCTTCATTTCAGGGGTCGTGTTATCGGCTCAGTGGCGTCTTACTGGACGACATATGTGGGTTTTTGTATGTTCTTTTCCTTCGTCACAATAGCAGAGGGAGATTTCTGGGTTTTTGCTTGCTGAAAATCCTCATTATCCAACAAACAGAGGTAACCTGTAGAGCAGCGAGTGCGTCCGTATCCCCATATCCTGGCAGGGCTTGGAGGTGTGTGTGAGTGTGTTGTGTTGGTGTGACCTGGCCCCGGGAGCGGCAGCAGAGGCAGCACCAGTAGTGAAGCGATAAAGAAACGATGTGTTGTGCGAATCCGAAACCCGCTGCTTATGGTTTTGGGCCTGGAGGAATAACACTCCCGAGCAAAAAAGCCTGGGCTCAGCAGTTTGTGTGTACGTGCGCGTGTCTGCCGTGTGTGTACGTGCGCATGTGTGTGTGTGTGTGTGTGTGTGTGTGTGTGTGCTTGTTGCATGCTGTGTGAGTGTTTCTGTGGGTGTCTGCAGATTCTCCGCATCTGCTTTAAATGGGCATGTTGCATGTTTGCAAAGCAGAGTTTGTCCCTCAGGTGGGGCGGGTTAAGGCACACTCCTGTCTTTATTAATACCCCTCAGCACGCCACCGTCATTCTGCCTTGGACCCCCCCCCCCCACACACACACCGGTCTTATCTAAACCGTGGTGCTGGCAGACGGGACGGGCCACCGGCTGATAGCGATTGTTTATCCCACGGTGCGAAATTGCTGATCTGTCTTCTGCTTTTCCCTGACAGCAAGATGTTCATCTCTCTTTCTCCCTCTCACCCCACAGATACAGATATTGGCACCTATCAGTACTACGATAAAGGAGAGCCAGGTAAATAGTGTTTATATTGGCTGTGTGTTTGTACTCCAGATAAGTTGAATTTGCCTTGTTTTGGGAATGTATGTGATTTCCTTAGACAGAAAGGGGGGCTTTTCGCTGCCTGCTGACACACAGATTATTGGTCGAGCTCATTTCGATCTTACACCCGCTAACCACACATGCACTTGTCCACACAGAGGCTATTAGTATGAAGGATTTACCCCCTAAAACCTTATATACACATGCACATACCACACACGCGCACAGATTATAAGGCCTGCGCGGTTCTATCTCTTACACTCCCTGTGTTCTTGTTGACCCCGGGGTCCTGCCACACAGTGATAGGAAAACTAAACTGTTGACTTTCTCCTAGATCACATAGCAAGAGGCACCATGCAGTCCGGCCTCATATTGCCTGAGGCCGGGAGGCTTCCCTTACAATCAGGAAATGCTCAGATCGTTCCCCGGCAGTCTGAGCAGCAAAGCTGCTTCATCTGTCGCTTTTCATTCTCAGCCTTTTTTTGTCTTTGTCTAAATTCATATATTTAATCTGTTTTTCTTTTTTTTTAATGAGCCCATTTGCCAAACACTTTCTCTTCACCCTCATTTTAAACTCAATTCTGTGAATAAGTGTGTATAAACTTTGATTTAAGAGGCTGTGCACACCACAGCCAGATAAGTCTGGGCCTTTCAGCCCTCTGAAAGATTAATTTCCCTCCGTTATTGTGCTTTGTTCTTTACCAGACATTACCTGGACAGGACTAACAATACAAATTAGGCAATGATGTCATTTAGTGGGAGTGGGCTAAACCCCCTTTAACCCTTTTACGACTACAATTAGCTTCCCTCACTCAGCGCATCTGTCATGTCTTGTTACCAGACTTCCTCAGAAAGCTCTAAAAAACAGACTGTAGCCAATAGTGCGCAAACTTTTAATACAAAAGCACGTTCAGGACCAACATTCACACACTTTTAACTATATCAGTTACTTCTGGGAGAAGTGTTTGGCTCTCAAAAGAGGAAATATTCCAAAAGGTTTCGGATATTACCAGTCTTCTCTTTGACTTTATACGTATTTAATTCAGTTTAATACACAAAACTAGGTTTAATCTACCCAACACAATTTAGTACCGGTGTATTACTCACATAAAAATCTTTGCGTTGTCAGTACTTGTCTTTTTCTTAATTTCTGTATCTTTCCATTCATCTGTCTCTCTTATATCATGTGTCTTTCTATCTTTCATTCATATTCTTTGGTTTAAATAATTTTTTAATCTCATGCCTGTGTGTTTAGGTTTTGTCTCATTTTGTGTACAGCGAGGCTCCCCGTGTCATCACTTCTTTCTCTCATGACGGGGTTCTCTCCCTTCCCTCTCATCTGAGAAGCTGCCTTCTCTTTCATTCCAATCTTCAGTGGAGAGACGATGCTCCTGCTCCCAAATCCTTTCATTTGGAGGATTACTAAAGTGTGGCTTGATATCAGAGTGGAGGGAGGAGGAGGGAAGAAGGAGCAGAGCAGGGGAGCAGAATCACAATCCAAAAGTATCATAACACTCTCACACGGCAGTGTAACGATAGCTCAGGTCATGATTCGATTGCACATGCAGCAGATTTCATTGGATTATATGAAATTTGGTGTCCTTTCTATTTTTCATGCCATTTGGGCTTAAACAGATGCTGGATGTGTGTGTGCTCCACGAGAAATACAAAAAAACATCTCACACAGATATTTGGCTTATGAAAAGATTCGGAAATTGAAGCTTTAGATGTTTTCCTTGTTAAATCAACAAGAGAAAAACTACATTTAAGTCAGTGTCAGATTTTTTTCTCTGCTTAGAAACATAACATTGGCCCTAACAGATAGCAGTGAAGTGCGGGTGAGGTTTTGGCTCTGTGGATGAGACCCGCCTGCTCTCAGTTTGACTCTGGTTCAGCAGCTTGTTGTCATGCGGGGGCTGGTTGTTCGAAGGCGACATGTTTGTGTTGTTTCATGCTGAAAAGTTGGATATCGGTGTCTGTTAAGTCGAAGCTAGGGGGGATTAATTTTTTAGGCTTTAAATGTTTCATTTTACTTCCCTGTGCGCCCACTAGAGGGAGACCTAGACTTATTGGAGCGGCTTCGGGGGTCCCCTGCAGCAAATACAGCCCCCCAACCCCCCCCCCCCCAGCCCCCCCCACCTGGCCCTGTTCATCCAGCCCCAGAGCAGGTGCCCATGTCTGGGCCTGTCTGGCCCTTCACCCCCTTATCTGATTAATACTACTAATCCTGGAGGTGTTCCTGCCTGCCAGAGAGGCCAGCCACCAGACTGGCCACTTTCTTGCTCGGGGCGGCCAGGCGATGAGGCCCGGTTATGGGTTGCACTTTGCCAACATTTCCCCCTCGGAACTAAAGGGGATGTTTGAGCTCCAGCTTAGTTTTCTGTTTTTATTTATCTAGATTATAAAGCAAAGCCAGACTCACTTATCTCGTGAGCTGTGTTGTTTTAATATATTCAAATGAATCCATTCATGTGGCCTCTTTATTTCTTTATTCACCCCCCCCCCCCCCCCCCAGGCAGTTCCCTGGAGCATCACTACTACAATGAGAAACTCCACTTCTGCGAAGGTAAGTTTTCAGCACAGAAACTCACAGAGATAGAGGCTGTTTTATTCTTCCCATCCACCTGGTTTGTGTGCGTTTGGGTCTTAATCATCCCACCAGTGGACGTCCATCTTCCAGAAATCACTACCGAAGTCTCTCAACTGTCCTACTTCCTCTGTACACTCCCTCCCTCTCTGCTGTTCACCCACAAACACCCTTATCAGGAGACGAACACTCATCCCCCTGCCCTCCCTTTCCTCCCCTCTCCTATGACCCCCACACCCTCCACACCCTCATTTGCATGCATCTGTTTACCTCCTCTTCCCTCTCATTCTTAATAAAGAACTCCACTCCTTAATGGTTGGTAAGGATAAAAAAAGAGACCATAAAATAAACAGATAGGAGAGTGATTTCGCCGCATGGAAAGCAGCAGCACTTTCCTTCCCCCCTTTTCTTTTTTTCTTCCACTGAACTTTTTGTAAATGTGAGAGGGAAAGCAGACGCACAATATCAATTAGCTGTTTTTTTCCTATATGCTTCTGTCCCTCTGTTTAACCACCAGAGAAGGGGGGGGGGGGCGAGTGGAGGGCTGGGAAATTAAAACGATGGGGCCTCGGTGTGGCTCGTGTTGAGATATGTGCAGCAAACTGTGTGGTTGCATTTGGGAGATAACTCAAAAAGCACCACAAGTCCTCACGATTAAATATTTGCTTCTCCTCAAGGATCGGCTGTTGGTTTTGAAGTGGCATTTTCAAATTTTGCTTTGTAAATAAAAATGTAAACAAGTCTTATAGCAGCTGGCAATCAGAGTAAGCAGCGTTTGTGGCGTATAACTCACTGGAGATTTGCATCAGTCCTTCTATGTTTGTATTTACGATATATTTATTGATAAAACCACTCTCTAAATTATATATATTTCATTTAGACTGTTTTATTAAACATATGCAAGACTGCCCAACTAAACAGGATCCTTAGTTAGTAGTAATGTTTCTGGTTCTGGTTCAACAGCCCTTTATCATTAAAAGAGCTCCTTTTATCCCATCAAAACCTGATACAATATGTTTTTATCTACTAAGATAAGTCATTTGGTTATAAATCTGTTTTGTGTCTCTTGTTTGTCTCTAAGTCATTTTTGGTGCTCCATTTTTGTGTGTGTGTGTCATCTTCTGGGATATTTTTAAACTGCACAACAACTGCTGTTTTTCCTATTAAAACATTGTTTAAATAACTGATTAAGATTTAAGAACTTTGGAAAGTTGGTTTAATTTTTATTATTTTAGCAATATCTGTGAGAAATGAGTCAGTTATTTTTTATTGAAGGATTTTTCATGTTATCTATTATTTTTAGCTGTTTGTTCCATTTAAAAAATTAAATATTACTGGTGATATTTCAGTACTGAAGATGGCTGTTTGATCCAACAGTCAGAGAGAAATAATTGAATACAACTCCTCACTTACTGGAAGAGACATGGTTTTTATATTATTTGTGGAAATAATAGTTGAAGTCTTTCTCCTCTTCGGAGAATCGATTTTAGTATTAGTGGGACTTTAACCTTCATGGAGGCTCCACATTAACGGCCCTGTAATCCTTTTTTCATACTTAGATCTGAGCAAATTTACAGAGTTAAAACATTTTCCATATTTAGCTCCCACATTCTCCTGAATTCCCATGAGAGCCCTTTTCAGGATGTTTCTCCTGTGTCAGTGTTTAAACGTTAAGTCACATGAGCTCCCGATTCTTCTTTCCCTGCGTAGCTCGAGGCAACTCGTGGACCCCCAGGAACCGCCGACCAGAAAAGCTTCGCGATTCGCTGAAGGAGCTGGAGGTAACCGCCTCCTCGCTGCCCCCGCCAGCACTCCACAATCCCTCCTGGCCTCTTCCTCCCTTGGGGATTTTTGGAGTTTTCCCTTTCCGAAACGGCCGATTGATTAACAAATAGGGACATTCTCTGTGTGTCCTCCCTCTGCCTTCACTCTCCCTGTCGTTCCCGTTTGTTCTCATCTCCCCCTCCGCTCTCTCATCACCTCTCTTTCGGCCGAACTCTGTCATCGAGGGGGATATTTGAGGGGATCAGGGGGCTGCAGGCTTCCCCCTTATCCCCTCTCTTCCTCCCTCCTTCTCTTCCTCCTCCTCCTCCTCTTTCCCTCCACTCTTCCCTCGATCTCCCCTTCTCCCCTCTCCCCCCCTGTACTTGTGGCAGCACAGGCCTAGCTTTGTTTGCTGGAACCTGTCTATGGCTGTCACACACACACACACACACACACACACACACACACACACTCCCCACCCATCCACCTCCCGCCTCTCACCCGTAACCATTGTCTGAAACCAGAAACACCCCAGCTCACCTCCACAGCCGCCCTCCTCCTCCTCCCCCTTCGTCCCTCTCTCCTCCCATCCAATCTCCCCAGCTGGGTTTGGAATGTGGCTGGAATGACTGACCTTAGACTCAAACACACACACACACGCACACACACACACACGCACACACACACACACACTCAAACACACACACTCACACGCACACACACATGCACACAACCAGTCGTTACCTGCATCCTTTTCCAGCCCCCCCCCCCTCCGCTGCAGTGGCCACCTGTGGTGGAAAGTGTCTACTGCTGCGTGGCACCAAAACTTTGACATTTTACTCAGTTTGTGGCCCGTTGTAGCAACAGATGCAAAAAGATTTTATTTGATTAACTTTGATGTTTTTTCGCAGCCCAAACGCGGCTCTGTGATCAGCCCTGCCTTCTCGTTGTGAACTGTGTCTCCGTCTCTCTGTGTGCTCCTCTGTGCTCTTTCAGGAACTGCTGCAGACCAACTCTTGCGTCCACACCAGATGGAGAAACAAGAACTGCTGCCAGGTATGCTCCCCCCCCCCCCCCCCACACACACACACGCACACACAAACACACACAGACACACAAAAACTGACACTACTTAGCTGGTCCAGACCATGGCTGGAGAAAGAGCTTATTCAGACTGTTAATCATCTTGTTCTTTAAATATCTTAGTCATGTTTCTGGTTGTTGTAGAAACTAATGTGTGTTGCCTCTTTCACCAAACAGCATCAGAGGTGATTTTTTCAAAAATCTAAGAGCTGTGATCAAATTTTAGATATCAAACTGCATTTTTTTGTATCAAAGATAAGTCTGTTTTTTTCTTTTAAAACTGGAAATCTGCACAGAAAATCCCCCTGATAAACCAAAACAGTTTTATTCGGTCTTTTTCTGTTTCAGTGCCAGTGTCCGCATTTTAAAATTTCTTGTTCTTTGCTACCTGTTTGAAAGTGCAAGTTTTGTAAACAATATAAATAGTAATAATGGAAATGATAACATTAACTTTGTACATCAAACTGTTTGAATTGAAGTACAAGTCAAACTATTGTAACTAATTCTGATCTCATATCTCACATCTTTAATAAAATTCAGTCATAGTTTCACCGATAAAAAGACCAAAGTGACTGGAAGAAACTTTAGCCCCTGAATCCCTTCGACATCAGAAGTTTTCTTTTGTTTTTTCCTGCTCAGGTGATGCTGAGCAGCGGCGTGCTGGTGACCCTGACCCTCAGCGGACCTCAGCTGGACCGAGTGTGTATCGACCGGACGCTGGTGGGTCGACTTCCCGCCACCACTGTGACCGATGGTAAGTTGTTTATGAGTTAAGGGAAATCAGGTGGTCCTACTTCCATTTGTCGTTTGGTCGTCCACCTTTGTTGAATGTTATATGTCCACAGAGGGTCTGTCATAACTCACGGGTGTTCGGTTGTTTCACAAAGACACCAACTCCCCTCTGTGAGAGTTTGGAGGAGCAAAGTGGCCATACAGCGTTACTCCTACTGTAAAAAAAATCCCTAAAATACTCCTAAAATATCCCTTTTAAAGAACAGCTGCTTTACGACTCCCCAAACACACTTGGAAAATACTGGACTGGGAAATACTGAGGATTTATATGCCCAAAAAAGGATAGAAATGCTGTCTTTACTCTAAAATGTTGTCCCAGAGCATTTTGAGGTGGAAACCTACTACCAGAGAAACAAGAGAATAAACCAATTATTGTTACCACGGACCACGTGAAGGAAACTTAATCAGTGAAGGTTCAACCCCTGCCTAATGCTCTTCTTTTCTATAATCTCCTCCGCTTCTTCTGTGTGCTCTGTCTCAAATTTACATTTACATTTATGCATTTAGCAGACTCTTTTATCCAAAGCTGCTTACAGGAAATGAAGAGAATCCGAAGTCAAGAGCATTTTAGAGAGCAATTTACAACAAACAGTTATAACACAAGAGTCTGTCCGAGGGAGATTGCAGATCTTCAAGCATGATGAACAGAAACACAGTTATGTTTAAATTCATAAATAGAAATCCAACAGACTTTTAAGATATGTGTAAATATTTTAAATTGTGTTTGTTCGAAATCATAGAAAATTTCTTGAAGTTGGTCAAACAGACCATATGTGGACACACCCCAAGAGATACATCAGAAAACCATTAAAAGACCAAATAAACAAAACCTTGATCCAGAAATATACCCAATATTTAGCTCTGTATGGTAAAATATATCATTTTGGAACCCACTTCAATTTTCTTTTTGTGAATTACTTTTATTACAATGGAAAATAAAAGACAAATAAGAACAGAAAAACATGGGAAAAAAATTCAAACTGTGCGGCCTTTACTGGATTAAACTTGAGTCTGTTGTAGCATTTATAAACTTTTACACTTTGATGTGCATGATTGCCTTGAGTTGGTACATTTCATGGGGGACTTCCTCGCCTTGAGGTTAATTGAAAATGTTTTATTTTTCGACTATACATTTGCACCCAAACACAAGAGAAAATAGGATCTCCAGTCCATCAACACCAGACTTTTCAGGCTTTGCTTGCCTAACACAAGCCATCGCCTAATTTAAGTTAAGACCTCAAACTAACCCTTTCTCAGCTGTTACTTCCAAAGTTTAGCCTTAAAGAATAAAGATATTCTTAATTTAAATGGCTAAATCTTATTTTGCATCAGTCAGGTTGGTGATAGGTTGATTATTAGTTTATACTCTATATTACATGTTATAAAACATATTTCAATGTGATTTAATTGCTGTTGATAGCTCAAAATGAATAGTGGTTCATGTGTGATTCAAATATTCCAGATTCTCTTTGTGGTTTAAGTAAACTTAAGTAAAATGCACGTTTTGAGACATTTTCATTGAAACGTTTTGTATTTTAACCCACTCGGAGGGGCTGTGTGCTCCCACCTGCTCACCCCAACATGCCCCCCCCCCC